GAAGCTTATTTGCCATAATTGATTTGCTACAAGGAACGAAATCTATTTTTTTGTTCTTTATATGGCGTGTGATGGGATGACTTTCATAAAAATTTTCAAATATTAGAAAAAAAATTTTTCATTTTATTTTACTTCATTTAATTCATTTATGTTATTACTGCTGCTCCATAAACCTTAAAAGGCAGTCGGAACATTCAGGGCTTCGCCTTGATATGAGCAGTCTTGTTATCTTTTAAAATGTCATATCTCGAAGTTTTTTCACGGTGGGGTCTTTCCGTGCTACTCTGCTTGAAAAAGAAAAATTGTTTGGGCTGTGATCTGCCAAATGATGGGCATCGAAAACTTCTAATTGTTCCGACTTTTGATACGAAAGTAACGGAATATTTGTGCTCGGGGTGGTTTTTTTTCTTCAGACGAATTTCGGCTTTTTACCTAGCCATTTTTGACGGAATATTTTTATATCATTCGAAAGGTATTGTTGTCTTGAGCTCAAATTTGAAAAAAAAATGTTACGACTGCCTTTTAAGGTTTATGGAGCAGCAGTAATAACATAAAAAAATTAAATTAAATAAAAAAAAATGAAATTTTTTTTTCTAAAATTTGAAAATTTTCAAGAAAGTCATCCCCCCACACGCCATTTAAAGTACAAAAAGATAGATTTCGTTTCTTGTACAAATCAATTATGGCAAACAAGCTTCATTCAACCAATTTGGAACGATTTATAAGAAGGATTAAATCTCCGCTTACGCGTTAATAGCGCGAGCTATATCGCTCGTTAATTGTCCCAAATTGGTCAAAATGGGCAAAATGGCAATCTTTAAACCCTCATAACTTTAAACCCTCATACGAAAAATGATCAGAGGTGACCCTCATAACTTTAAACCCTCATACGAAAAATGATCACAGGTGAAATATCTCTTCAAATTCAAGTTCAGGACAACAATACCTTTTGAATGATATAAAAAAATTCCGTCAAAAATTGCTAGTTAAAAAGTCGAAATTTGTCAGAAGAAAAAAAATCCACCGCGAGCACAAATATTCCGTTACTTTCGTATCGAAAGTCGGAACAATAAAACATCAGATACTCCGTTTTCAACAGTCTTAGGTTCCAGAGGCACCAAAGTACTGTCAAAAAACAAATTTTTTCTTCGGGAAACAACTCATTGAACACTCTATTGGGCAATCCCAATGAATTGCTACTTCATGTTGACTACTTATTCATGCATGCGTTTTGAATGCTTTTCTGCTTAAAAAAATGTGTTTTTTCTTTGGTCCAAACTGCCTGGATTTGTTCATCTTGTTTAATCAATCACTTAAAACTGAGCGGCGCACTGTTAAAATTCATGCAGATAAAATTAAACATTCTGCTCACTGTTTTTACGCATCCTTCTTACTCAAAAAATCGATTTTCCCTATCCTTCTCGAGAATCGTACAAAGATTGGTAGGTTCCTGTAAGATGCACCTGTCGCCAATCGATAGAACCATCTGAAGGAGTAATATGAGCACCTATACTCGTAGATACTTGTATAGCATTGCTAATGGACTGATTATAATTTTCGAGTCAGTTGTTTCACTTGCATCTCGTCTTATTTGTTCTGAATATTTCAATAAGTTCAACTTAAGTGTCTTGTTATAGTTCTATACTTCTTCTTCCTCACATATAGCCTTTGCAACAATTTACTTTGCTTTAGGTTTCATTTCTTTTCGGACTTGCCCAAAAATTTCTGTTCTTGCGACAGTCAAAGTTCGTTCACTAACTTGAGTTTATGTCCGGAGTGGCCCACTCATAGATAAGGTACACCGTCTGTTCGTCACGCTATCTTATTTTCTAATACCGATCTTAATCTTACTCTTATATCTCCTAGTATCAATTAATCTACTGTATACTGGTATTTGCGAGGTTAGATATCAGGAACTGTTCTGGAGAAGAGCAACTGTTTGCTAAGTTAAAGTTATTCTGTTCTGGTTGAAACTATAAAGTGTTAGTTATCCATCATGATTGGTTAGTTCTAAGTATTTTACAGAGATAATTTAACAAGAATAAAAATAGGTTAAAACAAATACTTGTTTTGAACTGGTTCCAAATTGTCGAATTGTTACTTCGAGATCCTCCGTCTGCACTCTTACAATAGCCGGAATTTTGTTTTCAATTACCTTCACGATGGTTTTCTCCCAATTCCAGATATTCAGCGGGACTAAGTACCATGGAGGATTCCATTGTAACCTATTTCGCAATAGGCGCCTGGTCATGAAATTTTAAATTAAGTGGCTGATGGATTTTGGCATCATTTTTAACTTAAGATTGAATAATCTCAATTTCCAGTCTCTGAAACTATTTAATAATTTTATCACAACAAGTACTACCATGAATAATTTTATAAAAAACCATCAGTTTAGAGAAAACTTATCAGTTTTAAAAAACAGTCGTTGCCATGCAAATTGCTCAGAAATGTTTTCACGGAAGCTTAAATCGCTAAAGCTCTTAATCAAACAGAACGAAAAGAAAACAGAAAACGTGCTGTTTCTTGATCCGTACAAAAATTTAATTTCTGAGTCGTTTCTGAATACAAAATAAAAGTGATGAGAAATTTTATTTCTTAACTTTGCACAATTTTGCATAAATTTGGCATGAATTAGACTTGCAAAAATTTTGTATAGAAAAAAAACACAAATTAATCATTTAAATCACTTTTAGTTTCGTTAAAAATCTGCGCATTACGGTAGTCGGTTCTTTTTCTCAAAGAAAAGGCTATTTTCTTTCTTAATTAATGAATTTGTTTGGAACTTTTTATCGCAGCTAAAAATAACTCATTTAGTACCTAACTTTCTCGTTTAGTGTCAAAAATTTCTACTTACTCAACCTCAGTTTTTTCCATGCGGTCTTTTAGTAGCCTTCGATGGAACGTCAGCTCTTAGTTTCCATGTAAAATTGAACAGAACCAGCATTATAACTGAAATAGATAAAGAAATTTGAAACCCATAAAGAGAAAAACGAACCAAAACCATTGTTGGTTTGTCAGACAAAATGATTTCGTAATAAACGGTTTTGTAATACAGTTTTTCAGACAAAGCAATGAATATTTTTCAAAGAAAAACAACTACTTTTTGAAGCATATTGCAAGTCAAAATTTAAACATGGAAAATTTTGTATGTCGTACAAAAAAGACGCGGTTCAGATAATTTTAAAATTATAAAAAGAATCAAATAAAATCAATTTTTCCAGACGGCAATTCGACTCGTGGTATATTTGATATCAGACGGCACTTCGGTCCCTTGAAAATATACCAACACTAGCCACCAAACTGTTATTTGCTATGCATCAAAAATAGGACAGCTAGACAACGTTTTTGGAAATACAATAATTTGGATTATTGTTCCGACTTTTGTAGCAAAATTCGACTTTTGAACTAGCCTTTTTTGACAGGATTTTTTGTATCATTCAAAAATTATTGTTCTCTTGAGCTTAAATTTGAAAAGATGTTTCACTTGTGATCATTTTTCGTAAAGTTATGTGGGTTTAGATATTGCCATTTTGGCCAAATTGGGACAATTAATGCGCAATATATTTAGAGCTCTCAACGTGTAAGTGGAGTTTTAATCCATCTTAGAAATCGTTCCAAATTGCCATAATTGATTTGTTACTAGGAGAAAAATCTATCATTTTGTACTTAATATGGCGTGTGGGGGATGATTTTTGCTCAAAGTCAAAAAATATTTCATTTTACTTTTTTTACATTTAATTTTTCGTATTGTTACTGTTCCATAGACCTTAAAAGGCAGTCGGAACGTTCAGGGCCTCGCCCTGATACCAGCAGTCTTGTATTAAGTGTGAGGCATTTACGCTAAGTTTGTATTTAAAAACTTGGAAAGCACAAAGTCAAATTATGTCAAAATTGTGTATTTCAAAAAAAAATGCATTTTATATTGCAAAGGATAATTTCTGGAAAACAGTTTTTATAATGGTACTGTTGTTTGAAACGGAAAAATTTTTTCGGTTCATTTGATGCATTGAAACGCATCAAATGTGTTGAATTTTGACTAATCGAATTTCAAAGCACATGCTGCCAAAAAACGTACAGGTGCCTCCAAAAGTGGCCCAAATATTTACGACTTAGGTTGAAAAGAGAATACTTGTAATATTCCACCACGCTCGCTAAAGCTGGCTTGTGTAAATATAAGAATCTTAATAACGCACGACACACGTTAAACGCGTCAAGAAAATTGTCTTCGGAATACATAAGAATTTTTCAAGAACGATGTTTGATCAAACATTAATTAAAATTATTTTCCAACTGGCTGAAAAAAAATACATCCAGGTGGTTTATCTACATGAGTTCTACAAAAAGTCTAATGTGCTGAAATTTATCTGCCTAATATTCTTGCTACAATCTTTGTAATTTAGCATACTCGTCTCCTTCCCGGGATGAGGTGCTCGACTCATGATTCGACCCTGTTCGACTCATGATTCGACCCTGTTCGACTCATGATTCGACCCTGTTCGACTCATGATTCGACCCTGTTCCACTCATGATTCGACCCTGTTCGACTCATGATTCGCCCCTGTTCGACTTATGATTCGACCCTGTTCGACTAATGATTCGGCCCTGTTCGACCCATGATTCGACTTTGTTTGACTAATGTGTTCGTTCGACCGTCTTAATTTGCGACAAAAATTGGACTCCGTTCGACAGTGTCGGTCGAATCATGAGTCGAGCACCTCAGCCCGGGTAATAACTTTTTCTTTTAGTATTACTCTCAGTCGCAGCTAATCTCGCGAACCCTGCATGCAGTGTAGAAATTGTAAGTTCAGTTGAAGCTGCTACCTGAATTCAATATTCAATGCTGTTTGAGGATTGAGAGCCTGATCTGAACGTTCACGTAAATTTCTCAGTATAGGTAATATCTTCTGTAAATCGCAAATTTCACTGAGCAAGTTGAGCAAATTAATTTTATTTTATACAATCACCTGCCACCGAACTTGACCTTAAAAGATAAAACGTAAATTGAAAAATAAATTCTAAAAATGATTATTTCAAATTTATTTGTCTGATTATCATTTATTTTCAACCACACAGCATCATTGTCAAAACATGCAAACTACTCGCAGTTATAGAACGTACAAAAATTGACTTAAAGAACTGTTGAGAGACTCAATTCGGAATTTGACATCGGCGAAGGACTATCATCGTCACTTAGTACGTCAATCGAGGTGTCGTGAAAATTCATACTCGCCAAATTTTTCTTCGGCTCATTGATCACTTTAGTCTTTTCGTTTCCATATTTGCTACTTCCTTCTTGTAAATAATCAAGGCTTGAATTTTTTTGAACTTTCACGATTTGTTCACGTGGTTCACCGGAAGCCAAAGATATTTTGGGAGGGTTTCCGTCCTTTGAGATTCGGTGTTCGTTTGTAACTGTGCAATCTGTTTCATCACTAACGCGTGACCTTTCCTCTTCATTATCGGCCACATTGTCATGATGATTTCCATTCATGGCGGATGAAGTGCATTGAAAAGAATTGCGAATTGGCAGAATTAACTGCTCTTGTGGACTGTGAACTGAAATCATTTCATTCGAATTTTCTCGAATCGGACTTTGCGACAACATCGGTTGATTTTGCTCGGCAAGAAACGACTGCCCCCTTGATTTTCGTTTCGATTTAGTTCCGAATAAATCTTCCATAGCCTGTTCTGTACCAATTCCTTGGCCGCCTTTGGGTTTTCTGGGACGTTTCATGAAACTGTTCGTTAGAAGAATTTCGTTGCCGTTCGGAACTGATGCAAGGCCTGCGTATTGAGCTCCCTTTTTGAGTTGTCCGGGTGCAAAATTATTTGAGTAATCGAGCGACTGAGCGAGTTTTCGCTGAATTGCTTTGTTATTCTTGTTCCTAAAAATAGATTATTCCTCTAAAGTTGCGCTAAAAAAACTTTTTTTTGGCTGAACTGTGAACGGGCTAGCTATATTATCCCTAATATATAAATGTGTTGCAATATTCATGTGTCGAAAACTTGCAGAATAATTTATTTCTCGAATCAGTGAATTGGTTTTAGCGTTTAATTTCTTTCAAACTGGCTTTCGAGTTTCAACAACTTCTGATTAGTACGCCAAAACCCATTAAAAATGAGTAAAATAATCCGTTAAAAAAGAGCTAAGCAAAGCAAAGCTTTATTCTATTAAAAGGAGGATGGCTTTCTTTCCGTACTTTTCATTTGCCTGCTCGACTTTTTTCATGATGTCAGGAAGATTTTCAAGTTGTGTCACTAACTTATGAGCGATGTAGATACATCCGACAATGAGAAACAGCGACGCCAGTGCCACAATCACGAAGCAGATCAAGAGGACGTCTTTGAGAGGTACCATATATGAACCCCCCTCGTCCAGAACTCTGTCTCCCCCTGGCAGAACAGAGGGGTAGGGGTTGTAGTGCTCACACCTTTCGCCCACGTACCACTTCGTACAGCTAAAAAAAATAAAAAGATCTCTTTAACTATCCCCCTATGGCTTCATAGAGAAATTCACCCCTGTAAAGGACTAATTCAATGATTAAACATCTGCAGATTTTATACCTAATAAAGAATCATCTTTACTAGTCCCCTTCTTCATCTTAATTCCCATTTTAGCTACACTGCTACTGTTTGAAAGTTTTTGAATGGGGCAATCTTTGAAAAATATTTGTACGGACTCCAGTGCCTGAAAAGATTTTTTGTTGGTGAAGTATATCTGCTCATAAATTTCGGTTTTTCTTATCAGACGTTCACGATTAATGTTATGGCTGTTACATAATACTCACTGGCATTCGCTCCTGTTCTCTCTGATTCGGTGGATGCAGAAGCCGCCATTCATGCAGAACCCCAAGTAATCCAGATTGCAGTCTTCAACGTCTGAACAAAAAAACAGAGAGTTGAATTCAAACCGAAGCTAAAGTCTATCGAACGGTAAAATACCCCCCGCCCCCTCAACAAAAAACACTAGTTTATTTGGTTTTAAATTGGAAATTAACTAGGGGTTTGGTTCTAATTTGTAACAGATATCTGCTCATTAATAGACACCCGAAACTTTCCATCTATAAGTTTCGAGGTGAAAATACACATAACCGATGTCATCATGCTTACCGGCCAACTTCAAGTGCAGCTCCGTCTTCACTTCGGGGTCTTTGAAGTTAGTCCCGTGGCAGGAATAATAGCCTGGGTGTTGCCACGTCACAAATGGAATCTCAAGTACGCTCTTTTTCCTGAAACACGACAATAACTCCGATTCAATTTTCTCTCGAAATCAAAATCAAAATTTAATTTGGCTAGTTTTCATTTCTCCCTAAGTTTTTTTTTACAGAAAAAAAACTAAATTAAAATTGTAATAATGCAATGAAACGTTCATTCTTGCGTTCCTTTTTTGTTAAAAATGATTGTTTGATCTCGTTGTTATTAATTCTACGGTGCCTATTAACGAATATCTAAACCTATTTTCTGTGCTAGTCCAATAATGGATGTTTAGGATTAGGTAATGGGGTTGGTAATTGTCAGCGAGATCTAGAAATTATTTCAAGGTGCGTTTTCAAACATACCAGCTGGTAGTGACTTTGATTGACTTCGAGGCTGGGCCTTCTAAGGGGTGTCCGTTGAACTTCCAGTACATGTAGGGCTGTGGGAACCCTTTCACCTTGCACTCAAGCAGAACTGAATGCTTCAGTTTCGTCTCCATAACTGGCTCTAACTGGTGAACTTTTTTGATGTAGGGTTGCTCTAAAAGCAAATAATTTGGATCGATAATAGCATTTTTTTTAAAAAAAATTAACATCAAAATCAATGAACTGTAAAACAATACAGAAATGAATGTTTCGCTCCTTTATTTGTACTGAACTGAAATACAAAAGTGGTTAACTTCCATATTTTGCAGACTCTGTGTTTTTAAACATTTCATCTTTCTTTTAAAAGAAAGTTGCTTCTCATAATACAGGATTATTGAAAATTATATATCAAAAACGCAATCAATTTCTTATGAAAATTCTAGGTCGTAACCGTAATAAAACAGACCAGCAAAATAAAGTTAAAAAATTCGTTGCAACTAATAGCTCTATTGCTTTACTGAAGAAAGAGTTCGAGAAAAACTTACCAGGGCAACCTTTGCAGTACTTGCTCTCGTCTAAATATTTCGTAATTTCCCTCATCTTTTTTCTCTTATACTTTATCGGCTCGGCCATCGAAACCCAAACGGGGCTCTTTGTCTCTTTGTCCAGAATTACGTCATACTCCGCCAACATTTGGTCAGTCTTTTTTAAAAACATTATGTAATCTCGATCAGTGCGCATTTTGTTCACGCAATCAGATGCGCTTAAATTAACAAACAGCTCTCGAGTTTTTTCTGGCACTTGCAATGAATCTTCATCAGTTCTGATGACTTTCATAATTCCAGGATATAAAACGGAGACTTCGTCCGAAGTGTTTTCTAGTCGTGCCTGGACATAAAAGTCGGCGTTGTTCGCTTTGTATATGTGGTAACGAGGTACCTCGTTATGTTCGTCCATACATTGCATGACTTCAGTTGGAACTTCCGTTGATAATTGATTGTCAGTTTGTCGTGCATTTGCATCCGCGGTACAAATTTTGATTAAAGATGAAAGCTGAAACACAATGACTTTTGAAGATTAGATTTATAAGAATGACACCAATTTTTTTTCAGCCTATCTAGTGTTAGAATTCAACGGCAGATACTTTCTCTGTTGCTAATCGGTACCTTAAATCCATTGCTTAAAATATTATACATATACATTTTTTAAACCCGCTAAATCTACATAGTAGCGTACCGAGGGGGGGGGGGCGACCGCCATCCCTCAATTCTGGTTGCCAAATTTTGCCAAAGGGTCCTCCTTTTGGTATAATTTTACGACATTCATGCTGACGAACCGAACCTCAAAATTTTCTAAAGGCGCATTCGGCGCCAATATATCTGACTTCAAGGGGGTAACACGCGCGGAAAAAACGCAATTTTTTAGTCAAAATTTCACAAACTTTTTTTGGCCTGTTTTTAAAAAAAATTGCCTGCGGCGCAGAACATTTTTCAACAAAATAGGGTCCTTATAGTGTTGTTGGATCAAGTTGTTAACATCCTCCTCCCCGAATTTACCGAGTTAAAATTTTGCGCCCCAGCACTTAACTTGGATCAAATTCGCTTCCTAGTGCTGCATCTAAAATGCTTGATTCTGAATGGCTGAAACTTTCCACTTAGAACCCAGTTAAAATCCTCCATCAAACCGTTTTGGGGATGCTAATTGGTCCGAATAGTTATTAATCTGGGTTATGCTGTGTTATGCTGGGTTCCAGCAAGTGGCGTCCCTCATAATGGAGGGACCGAATGTTGGAAAACTATTTTCCGTCGTAGAATTGCGTGTTTGAAAGTCTCAAAGAAAGCGAAAAAATCCAGCCCATTAAAATCAAAGTTGACCGATAAGAGAAGAAGCAGATACATAAATTTAAAATATTGTGAAATCGAATTCGGGCATTTGAAAAATCGAATACCTATCTAAAAAAACTGAAAAATATAACAAAAAATTGTCTATCTGCTTGAATTGTACAGAAAAACTTCGCTGTGCTGCTATAATTCACTTTCTGTTAATAATGACTTCAGTTTTTTGCAAAAATCATTTAGCCAATAGGAACGCCTAACGATTCTGATTGGTTAAAAGTTTTCCATCATTCGGTCCCTCCATCATGAAGAACACCCCCTGTTCCAGCAGCTATGACCAAATTACTAAGCACATATACTTCTCGACTACAGATTTGTATGTATGCTGACGAAACTGAAACTCACCACGACGATGATTGCGTAACTGATCCTCATTTTGACGAGCGGCACTCAAATTTGAGAAGTAGTCTTCGAGTTCAAATATTTGTTCAAATTGAACCCAATGGTCGATATATTTATTTACCGTACTTCAAGATTTGTCTGGGTAAACAAAGTTAAACTCTGTCTGTATTTCAAAAAGAATGGAATAATTGTAAGGAAGTGAATATTTAATCACGGACGCCCTGAAGTTATAACTGTTTCTCAGGAGTTTGCAAATTCTTGGAATTGAATTGATATAAAATGGGATTTTGGTTTTGGGATTATGTTCAAAGTAAAGCAGTTGGTCGCAAAATGGTAAAATGAAAATTCAGCAAGGGTTTCAGACACTTTGGCTCCTGTGTGGTTAAATTTGATCTCCCTTAGATCTCGGCAATGTGACTTGGAATGAGCAATCGACTATAAAATAAAAACAAATACCCTTTCTTGGAGGTTTTCTCAATCAACTTCGAGAAGATTGACTCGCAGAAATTATGGAAAACAAAACTGAAGATTCCAAAAGATTTGACTTGAGGTAATAGTTTCTTAATGTATTGGTTATAATAAAGATAAAACAGGTTTGTAATAAAACATTTAAAGCTTATTTTCGCAGCCTGGCGTTTTGGTTTGCGGTTGCTTTTTAAGGAAAGAAAGAGAAAATTCTGGATTGGTTTCTGGCTGTGACGTAATATTTTTGTTGTACCAACCGGGACCAAATATTTGTTCATTATTTGTTGCATGATACAAAATGGTATCAGCAAAAGTGCTGTCCTCAAGCGCAGTTTATCGTTTGCACAGTTATTAACAGAAGAAAAAATTGGTTCCAAATGTGCTCAGCTAACTGGAACACATTTCTTTTGTGTTAAATTGTATCAAAAAAGCTGGTTTTTGGTCGAATCAAATTGATTTGACCTGCAAAAAGTTAGCAGAATTTAGCAATCAGTTTAAGCATTTTTTTCATCTTTCGGAAAAAAATTGGAAAAAAATCAAAATTTTGAAAATAAGTTTGTTTGAACTTAAAAGTTTTTTCTGCATTTCAGAAAAAGTAAAGCAGAGTATTAACCTAACGCAATCCGTTCAATAAAATTGATGCCATTCATAAAAACAGATTGCTGATAAAGAAAGCCTTCTGAATTGCGTGGGACGACTATACATGACACATCGGTTGCTGAATAAACAATGAACATGGAAAAATAAAATTCAATGGGATATAAAAGAAATTTTTAATGCAGGTCAAGGAAAAACAATCTTATTTCCTTTATAAAGGGCCTAAGTGTTACTACAATAATAAATCTCAAAATAAGCGGGTATTCCAAAAATTTTTAAGAAATAGTTGAACTTATACAAAAAAAAATGCAGATCAATGTCAGACATCAAATTTTCAGAAGCGGAAAAACACTCGTATTAATTTAATTTGATTGCTTTTTTGTTTCGAGTTCAATTGATTTCAATCGACTTAACGCAACTTCGGAGGATATCTACTTCAAAAGGAAAGCGAAGGCCAAGGAAATGAAGCACCTTGGTGCACTTATCAGATTCAGGAAAGTGAATTTATCATCAAAGCATTTCTAAATTACTGTCTGGTTTTTCTATATTTGCAAATTTGGAAATTTGCAAATCATGTAATTCTTTGCCAGCGTGCAAGATTTTTTATCGTGATAACGGCGAAAGCTCAAACAATGTCTAAAATCGAACCAAATTTTTTTGACGAATATCAATCTTCACCAAAAAATAATTTAAGACGGCAATTACTTGTCGCCTTTTTTGTCTGTTTTCCATTTTAGTTTCCAAAGAATCTAGCACAAATGTACTTGAAACTTTTTGGGTTGCTAGTCTGCGTTTACAAAAAAAACATAGGTTTTAGTCAATTGGTTCACCCTCAAAAAAACTATTTTCAATATTCAGTGTTTGAAGCTAACCCGCTTTCACTAAAAAGAGAAAATAGTAGATTATAATGGATTTTTATTGTCAGTCTCCATAAATTTCAAAAAAAGAAATACTCATCGATTAAAAATGGATTATAATGTTACTATTTTTCGAAACAAAAAAACCCAATAAAAAGCCGTTTTTGGCCTGTTTCTTCAAAAGTTTGACTGCGGTGCACAAATTTTGGCCAAAACAAGGTCTTTTAAGTTCTTTGGGAGAGCTCAGAAAATCGATTTGGTCTATCTAAAAAAAAAGGTCAAAAATCCACCCCACCCTTCGAGAAAATCTCTTATCTGCCCCTGGTTTACTGATTTCTTACTTCTCACTGATTTTTAATGTGTTTTCATGCAGAATAGCTAAATTATAATCCATTATATTTCATTTTTCTTGGAAAATATTATTTTGATTGAAAAAAGGAATATAATCTATTATAATAGATTATAACAGATTATAAGAGATTATAAGAGATTTTCGGAAAAATTATACGCAATGATAGTTGATTATATTTTATTACATTGTCACCAAAAATGTTATGATTATAATGGATTATAAATCGTTTCATTATTTAAAATTGGCGCTTATAATTAATCATAATTTTGCTAAAAGTACGATTATAATTATAATATAATCGATTATTTTCTCTTTTTACTGAGTGCGGGAAGCCTTAAGTAGCACGAATATATAAAATAAAAAAATTCGCAAAATTAGCCTAGCAAGTTTAAACAATTTTCGTGCTAATGAGAGCTTATATGATGTATTTTTGGGCACGTTCTGCTAATAGAACAGTATGCTCTATCTTTCGTTTTAATTAAAACTTTTTTGATTTGTTTTCTTAACTGATGTTTATTTTCTTCATATATTGTGTAGAAAAAAAACAGAAATTTCGTTCACAGAAGTGAGGCTGCGCATCGCAAACACAAACGAGAAAACGATAAAGAGCAGCTCTAAGAAGTGAAATACCAAAAAGTAGAAAGGTGCTTTGAATTAGCAAAATATTTGCTGTGTGTCAAATTCGAATCTGCAACCTAGAGATTTGAAGTCTCGTGTTTTTGCATCTGCGCCTCCCTTGCAAACTTATTAACAGCAACCACCAATGACGCGGCTATAGAAGCTAATATTATGCCAATTGTATGCAGCAATTTTTCCAGCAAATAAAAACAAAACTACTGATTATTGCGGCGCTGAACCTTCGACTTATCTCACGTCCTACCGTCTGAGACAAGGACGCTCAACTAATGGCAACCACTAGCCACCAATGACACAAAAAATATGCTATTTTAATCTTCCAACGCTACAGATCAAGATAACATTAAAAATGCCACCAAAAATATGAACAGTTTCATTTGCTAGTTAGATTGGATAAAATGTTGCACATCGTAATATCATACTACGCTCGCTCAGATTTTGCTTTCCGAGAATTATCATTTTTAAAAAATAGAAAAAGTTTTCGGAGTCCATCGTACAGCTGTTAAACAGAAAAATATATGCGCATGATTGATTTAAACAGTTAGTTACACAAAGATGCGGGTCTCCTTCGTACGCCACTGCATAAAAAGGCGGGTGAGGGCGATGCTCCTTGCTTCAGGGATTCGAGCCCCTGCCGATCTAAAAGTTTCTCCCTTTGCACTAATCTGAGATATATATTTTTGGCTGTTTCATCTTAAAATTTTCTAAAAGAGCCAATATCTCTTACGTTTGAGAGGGGATCGCCGAGTTAACCCCCATAGAAACTTTTTAGGCCAAATGACAGTGACTCGACAAAATATACCCATAATGAAAACAGAAACAGAAAAATAGAAAATCCAACAGAAAAAAAAGAAAAATTCAAAAAACTGAATGGGACCAGGAAAAAAAAACGATAAACTTTTTTATGAACAATCAGTTTTCAGAAGTCGATTTAAAAATTACAACAATCAATACCTGTTTGGAACTTCAAAAAAAATTTCACTTTTTACGTTTTTTTTAAAATTAAATGACTTACTATGGGTAAAACTGGGTTGAAAGAAATTTTTTGTATACTTTATTTCAAAAAAAATAAGAAAAATTTCCCATTCCGCTGGGAAATCCTCACTCCTCTATCGAAATCAGTTAATAACAGTTTCTGTGCCATTTTAAGTTTTATTATTCAACAGCACATTTGTAGGTTTTACTCAGCTTACAAAGCTTTAAGAATAAACAAACAATAAAACCAATTGAAAGTTTTCTACACACTGGCGAAGTTGCTCTTCGCATACACAAGCAAAATTATGACCAAAAACGCTACTGGGAAAACTGAATGAGTAATACTTCGAGTCTACAAAACTTCTTAAGTGACGCACGCTAATTATGTGTCTACATACATAATTGCAAAGTGACGCATGCCAATTATGACGCATTAGCAGTACCAGTCAATTTGAAAAAAAAATTACCAACTAACCTGCCTAAATTTATAGAGCAAACTCATTTTTAACTAGTATACGAAAAAAATCATAAAAAACATCCGACCCTGCTGAGGTTCGAACCCTCTTATTTTGCTGCTGATCTCCTTCACTACTTCTACGCTATATAACCATGATACCTAGAAGCTAAAGTGATAATTGTAATATAGGCTGTTTAATATCCTTAGCATTGGCTGTACTTAATAGCTGGATGAAAATGAACACTTTTAAAATGAACACATTTTGTCGCAACAATTGTATTGCAACTATATTTTCGACTGAAGTTCGAAAAATAAAGAAAACTCATACTATAACCCAAGCTATGCTTGTGTAAAAAGACAAATATATAGAGCACTAAAAACTATAGTCACTGTTTTTGAACAGTTCTGAGCACTATAATGAATTCCTGAAAACCTTGAACAAAAAAAACATTTTTGCTTGGCTCCGAAAATTCTAAAACTAATATTTTACGTTTTCCGATCAATTTTAAGCAATATGAAAAACTCTGATTAATAAATTATTTATTTTTTCTCGATCGATTTTAAAAAAAAATCAACTTCAAGTTGAAATAGAAATCTTTCATGTCTTTCAAGCCTGATAAACAATTTGAAAAGCCTGAAGTGTGCTTAAAGTTCTAAATAACAAAAGCATTCTTGAAAGACTGAAGAAACAATTATATGGACAACTGTTTTTGCGATGCATTTGATTAGCAAAAATTGAGTATATCTCCCAACTTACGGTTAAGTGCTTTGAATTCCACACCACAGCTGCTTGACAGAACATACATTCTAGCATAAACGAATTGATAGGGCAAGAAATTATGCCTTATCTTAAGCACATTTGAAACATGTTAGAAAAATGAACACAAGCCTTGCAAGGAAAAAATCTTGCATTGAAAAATTTCTTGGAGTCAAATTTTTAAGAGGAACAGAAAAACAATGCTAAATATTTTATTCATTCAGTAATCTTCTTTCAAAGAAAGGAGGAGATATTTTTAAATCTAAGCTCGGGCCGATCTTCGAAGGCTGGCTAATGCAGACAAAATTAAAACTTAATGGAACTGTTTAGGCAATTGTTCGATATTTATGATTTCAAAAATCAAGTTTAAATTTTGTCTGAATTAGCCAGCCTTTGAGATCGGACCGTGCGTAGATATAAAAAAAAATCTCATCCTTTCTTCAAAAGGAAAGTATTGAAAGAACAAAATGTTTTTTTCCCGTTCCTCTTTTAATTATTTCATGCACCTTTTTTTGAAAATTCATTTTTGAAGTTCATTTAAAAAAAAATTTACACAATTCAAAGAGAACATTTTAAACAACTGATCGAAAATTCTGGCAACAAAATTAGCTTAATTCGGAGTTAACTTGATCAAAGACAATTTTTTTCATTCTACTGGAAGTTCATTAATTTAAACCATTTTTTGAGTGGAGGTTAATCATATTTAACCAAAAAAACCGCGCGTAAGGCATTCTTGGCTTTCACAAAGGAATGCAACCTTTCAATTCGATAATGCCCAGTTTTTTTATTCAGTTCGAAGTACCACTGAAAAGGTTTCACATGTAAGAAGATGAAGGTCATTCACATTTTTTCGCATCATTCGAAGTCTTTAATTGGACAACGCAGCTTGACTTCCCTTTAACAAATGAAATTACATTGCTTGGAAATAAATTTCAGCACGAACAACTTAAGACAATTAAGTGCACAGACATCGTTCCTTGACACGCTTCGTTTACCAATTTCAATCTGCCATGAGGCAAAATAATCTTAAGCAACAAATAAACATTTTTTTGTGTTCTAATTGAAAACGAATTTCGATATTTTTTCTCAATGAAATTCCTGGAAAGCGATTGAATCATATCAATAATTACATTATCATTTACACTACATCACTGAATATCATTCTAAAGTTCAATCAAAACGGCGATCAAATTAAAGTCAAGAAAGTAGAAAATGTGAAATTATTGTAAGCTTTGAAAAGAAGGCAAACAAAAGAAAATAGAACGACAGAATAGATAATTTTGTACTTTTCAGCAAATTCTATAAAATTACACTCTTTAACACATTAAGTTAACACCCTTTGAGCTCAAAATTCAAAAATTTTAACTAGCGAAATTTCGCTGCTCGCGGCCAGGGCCGTTATTAAACTTCGGGTCTACAGTTTTCTGAGATTGTGAGTTACTAGAGATAGTTTTCGACATGTGTTCTTGTTCCACAATTGAGCTAATCGACTTGTTCATGTGATGTACGTTTGCTTCAGTTCTTGGAGGTTGTTTGCGGGTGTTACTTGGAGCTGTTTGTTTCTGTGATGATGACGCTGGAGCTCGTGATGATTGATAGGCGGGGTAGTTGAATCCATCACAGACGGTGATTTTCAAGTCGAACTTGGAACTACTCAGTTCGTATTTGGCTTCAGGGTAGCTGACGCCCACCATCGATTTATTGTTTATCTAAAACAATACATTTTGTATAACTTCAGCTGGGAAAAATACATATGAATTTGAACACGATCATTCGTCAGCAACTCAAATTACTGAGATCTTAACATAGTCTCTATCACAGTAGTGAAACGGCAAATAGCACACGAAAAGCAAATAATTTTAAACACTGGCGGAATTGCACTAAGCATATAAAACGCGAAAAAAAAACTAATCACTCAAAGTTTCTTAATTAAAGATCATTTTAGCATAGAGTCGAAGACGTGCTTTGTAAACACAAGCAAAAACGGTTTAAGGGTAAACGGTTTCCCCCTTTTGTACTATTTTGAAATATCTAATTTTGGTGAGGTACCCTAAAAATTTTCTAAAGGCGCCAATATACACTAATTTTGAGGGGAGAGCGCGCGCGATTTTTTGGTCAAAATTTTCCTAAAAGAGCCTAAAAACGCCTTTTTTGGCCTGTTTTTTAAAATTTTGCCTGCAGCGCAGAAAATTTTGCCAAAACTGGATTTTTTTTACTGCTTTGGGGGAGCTCGAAAATTCAATTTGGTCGACCTAAAAAAAGTTTTCTGATAATTTTTAGCATACAAAAATTTTAAATGTCATAAATCTAGAAGCACTTAATACCAATTCCGTTTTCCGCAATCCCTGCCCTATTTAGATTAAACATGGCGCAAATATCAGGCGAACGATTCGGAACATCGAAACAAGAAAATTCGACATGTTTTTCGGATCATCGAAACAAGAAGCTGAGTTTTTTGGGGGGCAGGGGCTGTCCACATAGTTCCTTTGGAGGAGGGGGCATTGTCGCGTTGATCCCAAAAGTACCTCGATGATGCGTTGTCCAGGTTGAATTAGGGCGCAGTTATCGGCTGGGGAGTAAGGCACCACTCCGGTTATGTAGATGCTCTCATCCAAGGGCTCGTAGGGATTGGCAGACTGGTAGCCTAAGCCTCCTTGGATCATGATTCCCCACACTTCATTGAAATGCTTTTTCAATTCCAGCTGTTAATCAGAAGTAAGTTTAAACGAAATAACTTTACAAAACTGAAATAAAGAACAGATTTAAAAACACAACGAAAATTTTTTTGTTGAGATAAAAAGTATCGCGTTATCACATCTGTTCCACGACCGCTGTAATGCAGCAAAAATTCGACCAAAACAAACTAATTACATGTTCCGGATTTGAACACCCGAATTGCTGATTAGGAGTCTCACGTCCTCACATCTTGGAAATTAACAAGTGGCCCAGCTAAAGCTGGATCTACCTGTTCCAATATTTTTAATCCTACTTTGTACTGATACGGAAATGCTTAAATTTGAAAAATTCAAAAAAAAAATGCTGAACCCTAGTTTTTCTGCTTAATTCGGGGACTAACCTCTCATTTAAAGAAGAAAACTACAAATCGCTCTTTCAATTGAAGTCTCTATCTCAGATTTAGCTGGGTAGTTTTGAAAAATGATGAAAGATTCCAGAAATCTATCAAAAAATTTTCCTCAACATATTAACTTTTTCTTGTAAAACCCAGAAATAGCCAATTTCCAATTGAATATTTCCGCACCCTAATTTTTTAGATTGAACCCTCAATATCAGATAACGCAAGAAGTTTTCGAGAATGGTGACAAAGTTTCTGTGAAAAAAAGGGTAAACATTTAAAAAGGAAAGTTTCCGAAGTCTATCTCAGCTTTTCTACAAAAAAACAGGGTAAAACAGATCTCACAGGGAAAATCCAACTACTATGTTAGTTTAAATGAACTACAACCTCAGGTTAGTTTTTTAAATCAGCAGGTCAATATTTGAAAACAAAAAATAGAATTACTTTCCAAAAACGGGTAAAAATTTTAAACTTAGACATTTACAAGGACTATATATTGTTTTCAACTCGCAGCGCATAGCCGCTTTCTCAGATAAAAAATGTATAAGTGATTTTTTTGTCGGTTGAACCCTCAAAATCTGATTTCACAGGGTAGTTTCTGAGAAAAAAACAAACAGTTTTAAGAAATAATCAAAATGTCAAAAAAATGGCTTGTTTGAAGCTATATCTGTTTTTTCTAGCTAATTTAGGTTATAGCTGCTTGAGAAAGGGAAACCCCCATAATTTAATCTTGTGATTGAAACTTTCATATCAGATTTGTGCATTTAATATTTGAGAAAGTAAAAAAACTCAAAAATAGGCCAAAAATCCCCCAACTGAAACTTCGAACGCCGTAGAACGTGTGGTAACATGAAAATGGTTGGACAAAAGGCAGGAACAAAGAAGAGCAGTCGGTTTTTCCATTGGTACCAATTGCTTTGAAACCCCGTATAAGAGTTTTTGAGAAAAAGTGAAATTTTTTTGCAAAAAATGCAAAAATTTTCCAAATCGTTGCAAAAATTACGAAAAACATCAAACCCCATTTACTTTCATAATATGTTTCTTCAAAAACGACCTATTAGCCAGACATAAAGCAGCAACTTATGCCATTAAATTGTTGATGCTTTTATAAGCTTAAATATGATTACATTGAAATATACCAAAAGTGCCACCAAATGAGCTTTTTTATTTGCGACTTATCTTAGACAAAAAACTTCGTAAAAATACACTACGCTTCGATTGTATATACAGAGTCAACAGACAGTTAGAAAAGAGTCATTGAACGCAAAAAAAATTAAAAAATTGATTTCTGTGTGGAAAAAAATCGAATTCGAATTTTAACCAAAAAAATATATGCTCTTGTAGCTCTCTGAATTTCAAGAACAATCAGTAATTGGTTCTTTTCTGATGAAATTATTAACCCAATTTGAGAAAACTGGATTAGTAGGAAAAGCTTTCATTAGGCTAGGAAATCTAAAAATTAAACTCTACTTTCCAAACTTAAAATCGATCACGTGGGGATGGGGTATAAAATTATCAGAGGGGTCCCGCAACTTCGGATCATTTTTGATAAACAAGATGATAAAATCGAGCCAAAAATATTCTTGAACAATAAAATTGGCATGAAAATTCGGATATTCGAACCACGCGAATGTTTTGCGATGAAAATTTCGGGTACAAATTTTATGGCATAAAAACTCCTGTGGCATCCATTCCCAAGTTTGAGGTGGTCAATATTCTAGGGAGTGAGGTTAATGAAGAAGTATTGCTTTGTATTGCGTGGGGTCCCGACAAATAAGTAGTGCAGAGTAGAGTATTGTAATATCCTGAAAAAAATATCATCACAACCTAGATAAGAGTCTGAACTACGTTCATCGACTCTTAATTAAGCGTATTCCTACTTAGCACTTATTTAAGTCAGCGTACTCCAAGCGGCCCTAACAAAACGAAAACGTTTTCAGCACGGTGTGGAAAGTAAAATTTTATTTACGTGTTTATAGCCACTGAGGAAATACTCGTGAGCAACTAGAAGGGTGAGACAGTCCAGTTCTCCTTCAGCGTTTGGTGGGGACACGAGGGCATTGACTGCCTCCTTGTGGGTCACACTGTTCAGGTTGATCCCATTGGCAAACAGGATTTTGTCGCCCACCACTAGATTGGACCGGCAAGCCAGACCCTCGGAGGTTATCTAAAACGTATCAATAGTTCACTGATGCGTACATTGTCAGTATTTCCAGAATTAAATATAGGTTATTGTTGGCAAATCATTTTTCAAAAGTTATGTCAAAGTTAATAAGATCAGTTATCTACTAGGGAAAACCCAGTTGTGATTTTAAAAAATCAGCTTATTTATTGGATGGCAGATGTCATGTCGCTCAACTCTCAAACAACAATCGTTAAGAATCGTTAAGCGACATTTGAGCCTCGAAACATCAATCTCTCGACTAATAGGCGAAGATAATAACCACTTCTTCTTTTATTTGACTCTTTAGGGTTGCCTGGGGCTCAATTTCACAATAGGATTTTCCATAAAACCGAATTTACTCGATGGGAAAACAACTACTGCATATGCAATATTTCGCAATTGGGCCACTAGCTCGAACGTTTTATTGGAATAAATCGAAAGAGGAGGAAACGACGGGAAGATGAACAACCTTGGATATGTAAACAGATGTGTCCTTGAGGCCGCAGATGTGCATGGGGTGGTCAGTGCCCCCCTTAATGCTGAAGCCCAGAGGCTCACCCGTCTTCACAAGCACCACCTCCTCCACGTGATCAAGTTTCATGTCACCCTCCTTTTCCTCCTCAATCACACGATTACCATTTTTCTCAATCTAGGAACAAGAAAACATACCATAACCATATGTTTAAGTTTTCTAAGGTCAGAAACTTTCAGCTAGCTACTCTCGTTTAGCTGATTTTAAAATATAGTTGTAGAAATCATTTTCTCGCTAACTCTTCTGGTATATTACAAAAAATTACGATTGATATACCTTTTCTTCTTCCTCGGGTTTTCCTGTTTCATAAGTAATCAGGTTCTGAGGTGGCAGCGGACTAACTCTGGACACAGGAGGGTGAGGTGATGGTGGCGGTGGACTATGAATAGCTGGTCGTTCTGGCTCTGGCATCTGTTCAGAGCTAGAGTTGATGCGAACTCCATTCGATTTCCCTCCAGCTGGCACTCGGTCTAGTTTGGCTGTTGAGTTGACATGAGCTGAAAATTAGCACTGAGATCAAATGGCGGTCAAATAAATGACAAATGCAAAAAAAACTTAACCAATAGAAAGTTGGGAGTGCTAACGAACAAAAGAAAGCGGAAGAAATTGACATTTCATAAAACTACCGCAATTAGAGAAAACTGAGTCAAAAGAAATGTTTTTCACTCCGCTGGGAAACCTGAAAACTGAAATCCACTTTCGGACCAAAGAACACTCATGCTTTCGTAATTGGAGAGCGTAATAAATTTGAGCGTGAACACCCGAAAAAAAGGCTTAAGAAAAATCAATGCGACTTCACAACGTATAAGCGCCTCCACGACGTTCATTAACACTTAATAAGCCAATCCTACGAATCCTGAAAAAGACTATGAAACAGTTGAAAATGAACAGATCTTTTCATTTGATATGGCTATAATTAGGCTATAACACTACAAATCGTGCAATACGAAACTGGGTTTACACGGGACCTAAGAAAAACAAGGATAGCTGGTTGCAGTGCAAGTAGCAGATAATGTGCCGACCACAAACAAAGAACGAACTTCAATATGTGAGTGACGTCCTTTTCAAAAAAAATTAATTCAAATTGTTCAAATAAATTTTAAAAAATTGTTGGCATCAATTTAAATTTTTCCATAACTACTTGAATTTTTCTTACGCAATTTAAATTTTTTTGAATTCTGTTTTTCAGTAGTTTTTAACAACTTTGTGTATTTTTCGCAATTTTGACACAGAGGCGAAGTTGAGCTTCGCGCCACTTGCGATACAGCAATTATAGGATGAGTGCACCATGACGCTAAAAAATAAGCAAAAACAATATGTCACAATTAAAGAAGGAAGTAAAAAAGAGAGAGAAAAAAAAAACAAAAACAGCTTTGTGTTTGAATTTGATTGTATTTTTCAAAGAGGCCCTAACCAGTTTTAAGTTGGGCAATCAAAAAACTGGTGCCAGAGTCTTATTGATCTTAAAAGTACTACCGGACATCTCAAGGAAAAAAAGTTAATAAGCCGACAGAATTGAAGCCGACATCCAAAAAGCTGAAACTCAGTCAGAAATTTTTGTCAAAAAACGAGGGAAAAATTTTTGTGTAACGCCCACATAAGATCCATGATAGCTATTTAACACGCATATGCATGAAGTAACGCCCGCATAAGATCCATGATAGCTATATAAAAAGAGTAGACTACATAAATTGGAAACTAAAACGACAGAGCCGAAAATGAAGCCAAAAACCATCAGGAGAAAATTATGCATACTATGGTTTCAGATATAACATGAATAGTAACTAGTATCCCTTAGTTAAACCTGATTTTCATGAAATTGAGCGCGTCAGCAGCATTAAACATAATTTAACTAATTTTGTTAAACAAGTTGTAAAAAAGTCTATGTTCGGATTTGATAGCGCTTGCTACTAGCAAGCGTAAGCAAAAAAATATAAAGCATTTTTTTCAGGCAAGTCTTTGCAAATAAATTTTGTAATTTTGGTCGTGAAGACTCCGCGGATCTCTCAATTAACTGCCATGAGTAAAAAAAATAGGCGTCAGATCGAATCCCGTTCATAATTTACGTCGGACTCACAATTTACATTAAAATAAACATTTCAATAAACGAAATATGAATTATTTTAAATTGTTTTTTTTTATATGGACATCACTGATTTCAACGCAGAGGCGAAGCCAAGCTTCGCAACGCTATACAACAAAAAACAATGAGGCAAAAGACAATGAACGGAGAGATATCGACGTTAAAGAAGGATAACCGGTTCCTGTGCAAATAACACAGAATGTTCCGACAATAGCCTAAGAAAAAAGTAAATTTTTTTTTCATATTAGTATCGGTTTTCTGTGTGGTTTGATCAAAAAAATAAAAAAAGGCATATTCTACAGTCAAAGCCAAATAGGCTACTTGGAAAACAGTTTTTGTAGAAAAATGACAAAAAAAAACGAAAAAATAATCAAAGAAAAATTTTCAATAAGTTCATTGTTTTTAACACATTTTTTGAATTTTCTAAAATTTTTCGATTACCAAAATGGCGCTAAAAAAACTCGCTCGAAAAAAAATTCATTTTTTTCAGGCTTAAATTAAGCTGAAATAAGGTATTGTAAGCCTGGACACACCTTACTAGCACGAAATTAGACCAAAAACCAAAAAAATTCCAACCGGTTTTTCTCGACACCAAGGAAAAATTTTCAGACGTTTTAAATGTTGTTCGAATTACGACTGAAAAGGCTATAATATGGTATAACACTCAACCAATTCCGACGATTATTTGTGTTAACTAACTTTGTGAGGAAAACGAAAGAAAAAAAGCAAAAAAAAACACCCGAATACAAAGTTCCTCCATTTAAAAAAAAACTTTTTCTATTTTTTGCGGAAATTTTCTGAACATTTTTTGATGTCACTCGAATCACGACTGTTGGAGCTTTTGGATAATATATATCTCGATCCACTTCGATGATTATTTGTGGTAGCTGATTTTGCGTGGAAAACAAAAAAAAATCTAAAACACCCGAATACAAAGTTGTTCGAATTCAATGTCAAAACAAAACACCAATATAAATTTCACGTTTGCACTGGATGAGGCCAATAAACAGCTATAAAAGCAATGAGAATGATTCAACGAGCGGCAGCTAAGGCGACAAAATTTTGGTCGACCCCTGTCGAGCCAAAAACAAAAATGTTGTCAAAAATTTTGTCAAAAGTTCGTACTGAAAAACTGAAAGCATATAATATTAATTAAGGCTAATAAAAGATAATGAAGGCTAATAAAAAAGGTGGAAAATAAAACGAAAGAAAACAGCTTCGTTCATTGAGACTTAATGACTAGGCGAATAACCCATGAAGCGAAAAAAAAAACATCGAAAATAATGAATTGACTAACATGTGAATCAAACCCGGCCCCATTTTTGGTCACAAAGTACGTGCCCCACCCATTGCATATTGTGAGTTTACTTACGGAATTTGAAGACGTCTGACTTCCGGACAACTGCGAGGGACACCTCAAACACACTCCTGAGGATATTGACTGCCGAGTCCCTTCCTTCGATGCCATTGGTCACATCTACATCGTTGATCTTAACACAGAGAAAAAAACATAGCCAACAAACGAAACTTGAAACCAAACAAAGACAAACTTAAAACTGATCGAGAAACTTTTGTGGCCTTTTCCCAGAAAAAATAAAACAAAAAACCACATGACCAAAATAAATGAAAACTCACCTTGTTCAAAATAACTTATTTATACAATTTTTGACAAAAATTTTCTGCTAAAAACAAAAGCTAAACTTTGAAAAAAAAGAACTACGTACCAATTTGCTCTATAGCCTAATTAATTTTAGCACAAGCCTACGGCACATTGGCGCTCAAAATAGAACTGTTCAACTACTTGTTGAACTTGACTGTATATAAACTAACAGATTGAATCAAGTCTCCAATATGCAAGGTTCCTTCTTTGGCAGCCACGCCATCAGGTGCAATTTTTGTGACCTTCAGTCCCGTTTCATTCTGGATACTCGCACTGTTAAACGAAAAGCCGAAGCCCTGGTGCACCTCTCGTCTCAACTTCACGTCAATCGTGAAGAAGGGCGACAAGGGAGTCACGGGTCCATTAAGCCTCGAAGCTTCGGAGACTCCGATTTCGTCTGTGACACTTTCCGACTCGTTGTTATCTGAATCGTGAACAAGATTGTAAATCCGTCGTTCTACTGTCAGTGTGATGGAAATTCCCCCATTACGTAATATTTCCACAGCTGAGGAGTGATCAATTTTAGATAAGTCATTTCCATCCACGCTTAGAATTTTGTCGCCAACTCGCAACCCAGCCAAGAAAGCAGGACTGTTTACAATGATGTTGGAGAGGAAAATTCCATCGTCTCCTGGTCTGTACGGAACGAGAGATCCGATTCCTCCCGCGATTGTTAAACCAAAACCGACTCCGGGACCTCTTGTGACCACGCAAACAAACTGTCCGTCTTCGAATTCGTATTTACTCTAAAATGATTCACAATTGAAACCAAAAAGTTCTACATATAGATGAAATATCAGCAAGGAAAGGACAATAACAATTTCAGCTAAAAATTGAGACAAACAAATAAAACATAAAACTTCGGGTAAATAAAACATGAATCGTTAAATTTTGAGAACAATTTTCGATTTAGACACTTTGTTTAAAACAACTTCACCTCAATTTGGAAAAAAATGGATAAATAGTCAAATTTTTTTTATTCCACCGGGAAATCTGAAATTCAAAACACATTTCGAAACTAGAAATCGATCACGTTTTTTGCGACATTTCCGCTTTCGTAATTGGAGGAAGCAATTGGCCTTTTTTTTAGCAAATGAACATGAATGGAATTCCAAAAATGCATATATTCTGCAGCTCATTCACTAACGCATTAATAAGCATATCTGTAGTTATAAAAGATTTATGTAAGTACATGAAAGTAACAAATACTTCGTAATCTTCCACTTAAAAACTCTAAGAACAACAACTGGAAAGATGAACAATAGACAACCCCCCTCTCCCGACATTGTTGGAAATTAATTTCACACACAGTTCATTTATCACTGCACCAAAGTAATAAACGAGCAGTTCACCTAGGCTCAAAACGCATTTAGGATTGGCCATACTTGAGTGGTATAACTTAGCATTCAGGTTCGATCTCAACTTTACAATCGGTCTGAATAAAAAAATCACCTCAAGCATATAATTCTCACTTTCTTCAAAAAGTCGGATCAAGGACGCATAATTTTGGTATACAATTTGCTTCAAGCATTTTCGATTTTACAGATGCTACAATTTAATGACCAAACACTCATTGCATGGATGAATTTTCAAAATAACAAGCTTAACATCACAGGCCAAAATTATGACTCATTATATTTTCCAGTGCCTCGGTAATAGGATTACTTAACAAAAAAAAACATTAATCTAACTTGCAATTCAGCCGCTTTCAAACAAAACTGGACATGTTATAACACTGACTGATAGACTATATTTAAAACCAGATAAGAGACCCTCAAAGAAAAACAAAGCCAACAGACTGTTGAAAAGGAGTCAATGAATGTAAGTAAACAGAAAAAATACTGACTTGTTGTTTTGAAAAAATCCCAACTTTCGAATTTGAAAAAAAATTGCTAATCTTAAAGCTCTTTGAATTTCTAGAACAATTTCTGATTGACACTTCTTAGATAAAACTAACCCAATTTGTTTGAGAAAAGATCAATAAGCAAAATTTATATTTCGCTGGAAAATCTGAAAACTGAAGTCCACAATCAAAACTAGAAGTCGATCAAGTTTTTGGCGATCTTTACACTTTTGCTGTTCAATAGCTGAGTTTGCCTTCTTTTTAACAAAGGAAATGAACTGAACTTAAAAAAAATCAAAAGTCAAATTGCGAAAAACTAAATTTGAACCTGAAAAAATTTTAAGACTTCCTTAAACAAAAAAACATCGCGACCAATAAAAGAGTGTAAACTGTAAACTACGTTCATCGACTGTTGAAAGAAAACCGAAAAAAGATCGAAAGAATTAAAGCAAGAAAGGGAAACAGAAAGAAAGTTACGTCATCACTGTAGAGCAGGTATGGTTGTTTGGCGGAGGCCGAGGTTGGACTGAGTTGGTTGTGGTGTCCCGCGAGAAGCTGCTGCAGCTCCTCCTCTGTCAACTCCTTTCCCTCGTCCACCAATCTAAACAACAACCACACAGCATGACTTCTTCAATTATTGATAAGGAGACCATATCGAGCAGAAAAATGTATACACAGAGGCGAAATGAAGCTTCGTGCCACTTGCGATACAAGTAGGCATACAAAAACAGAAGTCTAAAAAATGAAAAAATAAAAAAAAAATAAGGAATCGCCGTTTTCATCTCAGATCTGATAGGTTAGTTTTTAAGAAAATTCACGAAATTTCTAAAAACAGTGAAAAGTTCAACAACTGTCGAATTTCATAACTTTTTCTGCAAAAAGCAGGTGGTGGCTGCTAAAGCAGAGAAGAATCCCAAAAGCGGGTTTCACGATTGAACATATAATCTAAGAATCGGCAGTATAGTTTTCGAGAAAAACAAAGAAATTTCAAAAAAAAACGGTCAAATTAAAAATTCGACGTTTCCGAATATCATAGCTTTTCATGAAAAAAATTTGGGCGTAGCCGCTAATATAGAAGAGATTCACTGAATCTGTTATTTCGGGTGGGTATGATTGAACGCAAAATCTCAGATTCGGGTGGGTATTTTTGAGAAAAATCCAAAAGTATGGGATAAAGCTTCCCGGACAGACTTTTCGAAGGCTGTAGTAGAATATGGGGTAAAAAAAGAAACTCGTGGGTTATTCAGACACAGGCACATAGTGGAGTGGGGTTATTTCTATTGCAAAATTGGTAGATTCGTTTTCGAGAACACTAAATCTTACAAAAAAATATTCGAAAACGTCTCAAAAAACTAATAAAATACAAAAATCAATCCCATACACTTTCATTATACCTGTTTTTATCAAACAGGAATTCTAATTTAACATACCAACAAGATATTTAGGTTTTAAATTAGCAACGGAACAAAACTTACGAAGCGGAAACAAACCCGACAATCTTGGAGCAGGCACCAGTCAACGGAAAAGTATTGATTTTCTGAAAACTTTTAAAAAATTTAGGGTCCCCCTAAAACTACGATGATCAACACTTGCCCTCACGAGAATACTTGCTTACAGCACAAAAAAATTCATGACGTGGAACCTAAGCCGACAGAAGGAAAGGAACCAAGAGTTGCTAGGGTTCAACAAAAAAGCAAGTTCATTTTCTTGTACACATAACTAGCGGGAACACGACAAAAAGCATAAAGTGTGATAAGAAAAAATAGTAGCAGACCTCGAATAAGTAAAAATTCGGCTACGTCTCGGATTCGATCTGCGACCTAGAAATAATGAGTCTGACGCGCAAACCACTCAGCCACGGACGCGTAATACATCACAAACACTAGACTCAAATAAAGCAGAGAACAGATGCTAAGAAATTTCTAATGGTACTGATCGTGATTATAGCAAAAGTGCCACAAAATAAGGGAGCCCTTTAAATGAACACTTTTAAAAGGGTTAGGTTAGAAAAAAGAAGGTTCGTACTAATACACTAACGCTCGCTTGCTAGTGAAATGAAAAGATGTTTACGGGAAAAAAGACCAGTTCCCGATTACAACCTCAATTAAACTGAAAAAATGGCTCACATTTATTCATATTTTGAGTAATTTTTCAAGGAAAATTTCCGGCATTTGATTTGTCATTGCTGAAACATTTATCTGATGTCTAAAACATAGCCAACTGGCAGCTGGAAAAGAACGAAGAACGCAGGGAAATAGAAAACTTCTATTTATTAAAAAACGCAAACTTGCAAATTTTAAAGCAAAAAATGTGCCCTTTCTAACTTTTTGAGAAAACTGGATTAATATGTAAAACTTTTGAATTCCCTGGATAATCTGATAGTTAAATTGTCTTTTCGAAATTAGAAGTCGATCACTTTTTTCGTGACATTTACAATATCGCTGTTCGATAGCTGAGTTTGCCTTCCATTTAGGAAAGGAAATCAAGTGAGCTTAAAAAGAAATCAAAAATAAAACAGCGAAAAAAGTAATATTGAGCGCAAACAAATTCCTGTAAAACGATCACCAAGCCCTATATCAGAGCATTCACTACGTTCATTTCTCTTAGAAAAGATCGCGTGACTTCTAAAAGGGTCATCATGTCTCGTCACTTCTCACCGTTTTCCCTTCTTGTGGTGTGGTGTATCCCTCCGTTCCAGGAAAGCATCCTCCCTCATCGGCGTCTTTTTCGGTCTCAACTTGACCACACTCTCCACTCCGCCAACAACTAAACACAAACATCTCATCTACACAGAACTAACTGATGCTTCCTTTATGAACAAACAACTTAGTAGCTCACTAGTGATTCCTTTATAAACCATCAATGGCGTACCTCATGATGCAGGGACTGAATCTTGGAAATTTATTTTCACTTATTTTCAGCATGTCAGAACTGAGTAATCAAAAGTCTCAAAGAAATTGCAAAAATCTCAGATAAAAAGAATGATTCAAATCCATAAAAATTAGTCTTGACCGATAAAAAATAAGCAGATACATGAGTTTACAGATATTGCGAAATCGAAGTCGGGTAGTGGAAAAAGCTAAAACCAATTTCTTAAATTGTGAGAACAAAAAATTTATTGAAAGATGTCCATCATGCAGTCCCTCCATCATGAGAATACTCCCTTGAACAATCAATTTAGTTGCTATATTCATTCACTAATTCTTCTGATTAACTTTTGTCATTGAGTGAGTCCTTCACAGAACATTATCTACAGAAAAAACTCCTTGAATGTGCCAATTTCATATTTGAATTTGATTTCATATCTCATACTTTAATAACAGTAAAATAGCACTTTTAACACAATCTATCAGCGAACGCGGTGAGCAGCAATTTCAGAACACCGTAACAATTTCGCCGGAAAATTCCACAGCGAGAAACAGTGAGTGATCTGGGACTTTCTCCAGAGGGGTGGATTTTGAGCTCCCTTCAAAATTAGTATATATTGGTGCCGAAGGGCCTTTAGAAAAGTGTTAGGGCAGCCAGCCAACATGGAGATCTTACAACAGTATCACAGCGGATCCTTTGGGTAACGATGGTTTCGAATGCATATTTCCGTCAATTCCTTTCAAACTGCGAAACAAGGATCCAGAGAGAGCTTTAATTACCAAAAAGGTAGACCGCAAAACGCCAATTTTGACAGTGTTTTTGACTCTTTCTATAAAGTACGCATGCTGAAAAGCTTATTGCAGCATTGTGTTGTTGTTTAGCACACGTGAAAACTTACTGACCATGCCGGGTAAGAACATTTTGATATTTAATTATCGGAAGCATTGTTTTGATAGTGTCCGTTATTGTTATGATAGCATTCTTCATATAGTAGTTATTCATGAATCGTATTGTGATTCATGAATCGTGGGTACAATAATTCTGTGAAAAACCAAGCCGATCTCTTCAACTCAAAAGGGCGGATATTCGTTACTATGTATAAAATTCGCATAACCTTAACCGTTGAGTTATTTCATTATAGGGGTGGCAATTAGTTACTAGGTACCAAGGACGTAGTGAAGAGGGGGGGGGGAGGGGGAAGTTAAAGCAGTTTTTTTTTTAATTTTCAGCACCATATCAACCTTTTCGGCACTTCCGGCAGAGCCAAAATAATTCTTCCTGCTCATGACGGAATGCCTGCGTGATGAAACTAATATAAGGCAATCAAATTCGCCAACTCAAAATCTGATACACCTCCAAAAAATCTCCAAGAAAGCAAATAAACCTAGTTTACCACCAAGCCACTGGGAGTTTTCATTACGTTCTGCTAATTTGCTTTCGGTTATCTGCATGTAACCTTCAGCGACCAAGAACTTGTTCCTCTTTTGCACAATTCTAATTGGTCTAAATTTTTGCATCATTATGTCCCTCCACAATAAGATAATCCTAAATTTGTTATTTTGTTTAGAAAATTGCTTTTTACTACTAAGCCTCGTCAAATCCCAGATTTCTGGCTAAGTTAAGACATCACTTACGTCCCACACGCTTCGCCTCCCCTCCAACTACTGCCTGATCCGCTTCACTGTCCTCCCCCTCATTCAAATGCACTCCTCCTCCCCCGTTGGTAGCAGTGGTTGTGGTCACAGTGACGTCATCACTAAATCCCACAGTCTTCTCACGAGACACGTCCAGGTCGGAGTCCGAGTCTTCTTCCTACATGATCACAATGGAAATATCTCACAAAAAGTTTTGAAATAACAAACAACTAAAACGATCTTCAGCCCATCAAAATGCAGCAAAACTGGAATTCTCAATAGAAAACCTTTGTGCTCATTAACTGTATTTAACTATAGATGTGGATTTTCTTTATTAGTAGATACCATAGGCGGTTGTCAAATAGATCCCTCAGTCATAAAACAATATCAAATAAATTTTTTAAAAATGCTTTTGCCGATAAAAACGAACTGGTGTACCGGTAGTCATCTTATTGGCTGCAGTGTTTCAGCCAGCTCACAAGGTGCCTTGAAAAATTGAACGGGTACTCTTGAATTAGTTGCGGTAAAACACATTTATCATGATATCAAAAAGTTTTGACATCAATAAACAAGGTTGCTGTACAAGTAGCCCAGAATGCTCCTGCCCCTGCCTCAGCACTTTAAGTAAATCAATTTAAAAATCAGAAGAATTAAGAAAAAGCATTTTAAAATAGATTTACATATAATATTTTTTTAGATTAGTGGGTTCAATTAGATATTAATCTGAAAATCGAAGGTTTACGGCTTGAATAAATTGAATAGCAGAAGAAATAGATAGGAAGCTTATCAGTTTTCTTGCTCATTACAAAGTCATCTAACAGCAATTAGTCTGAAAAGCGGAAAAAATTGAAACCAACTTCTCGACACCAATTTTAGAATCCAAATCAAGGCCTTTAATGTGGCTTTAATATGATAACAAACTTTGCCTAAAGTGTCTAAAATAAGCCGGAAAAAAAACACTTTACGCGGTCGGAACAATAATTCTCGAGAAAAAAATGAAAAAAAGCGGAGAAATCAAATGAAAATGACGAAGCTAAAAATTGAGAAAAAAGTGTACTGAAATTTTTTTAAGAAACCTGTTTTTAAACATAGAGAAGCTCAACATATACCAGGAGACAAACTAACGACCTAAAGATACTTATGCTGCAAGGCTGTAAAAATTTTTGAATTGAACATATGAAAACAATGATTCTTTCATAACGGCAGAAACAAAAAAAGTGGTAACTTAAAAAACAATAATTAGATTTCGGGAGAAAACCCTTAACATCCAAAGAACAGCACACCAAAAATACCTTAAAGAAAATCGCGCTTATTAGTTCCTCAGAAATTAAGCCGACAAATTATCAACTGAATGAAACCCAAAAAAACACAGCCAATAAACCGTTGCAAAATAGTCAAGGAATTCGAGTATCACCAAGAAAAAAATATTGAACTTCATAAACTTTCGCAATTCAAAGAACAGATACATCAAGTTGAAAATTTCTTAATTTCAAAAAAACTTTAGACTCCACATTTTATTTCATAAAACTAGCCCAATTTGAGAAAAATGGATCAATAGATAATTACTTTATTCCCCTGGATTATCTTAAAGTATTATCCACTTTTCGAGCCGTCCTGTTTTTCTCGCGAGTTCTGCTTTCTTGATCTGAGAGCATAATTAACCTTTTTTTTCAGCAACCAAAAATGAACTTGAAAAAGGGAAAAAGCAAAAGATCAAGTTTGGTGTGAAATTTTTCCAGAAAAGGTTAACATACTCAATAAGAATTTTCATATGGTGTCATTTTCATAGTGTTCATTGAATCTGCACAATTTAATTGAAAATAATCTGCATAAAAAATTTTGACCAATTTTTATCTTTCGAAGAAAATAATATCACTTTGAAGCGTGATATGATGAAAAAATTATACAGACGCGTAGAAAATAAGTAAATTGGACAATGTCTTTATATTTTTTTGAAAACTTGCTGCCAACGAAGCGCAAAGTCAAGCTTGCAGAACTAGTTTTTGCTAAATAAAATCAACTTTTCTTAGCTTAAACGACCAATTTTATACAGAGGCAAAGCTGCACTTCGCAAAGACTAGCCAAAACACTACAAAAAGCAGCTCTATAAAGTGCAATAAGAAAAAGTAGAAATAAGCCTTGAATTAGTAAAATTCGGCTAACGTCTAGGATTTGAACCTGTGGCCTAGAGATTATGAGCCTCACACACCAAGCACCCAGTCACTGACGCTTAATAAATCACAAACACTAGCCACAAATGCACAGATGCTATGCATTTTCTAACTCTACAATGATATTTCCATATAAAAGAACACTTTTAATGAACACTTTTACTTGCGAAATTGGTTAGAAAAAAAAGTTCGTTCTAATAAACTAACGCTCGTAAACTCACTAGTGCAATAAAAAACGAACGCTACAGGATCGCTTTACTCGCTGAAAATTAGAATATAAAGCAAATTTTCAAACCGGTTTTTCTCGACACGGGGCCAATTTGCTACAATTGTTTCAATGTCGTTCGAACCACAACTTGAAGGGCTTTAATGTGATATATCACTCGACCCATTCCGATAATTATTTGTGGTACCAAATTTTGCTAGAAAATTAAAAAGAGAAAATAAAACACACCCGAGTACAAAAATGCTCTCCATTTAAAATGGTCGGATTAAAAATCATCAAGACCTTTATAAGCAAAAACCACTTGGTTCTTTTACACTTAAGAACTTGAAGAAAAAAGGGGTCAACAAGAACTTCAGATTTTTGTTCATTTTTTGAGGAGGGTCTGCGAGGTTAATTTTAAATTTTTAAATTTCAATGGTTTAATAAATCTCAAGTAATTCTAAGGGATTTAAATAGAAAGAGTCATTTCAGGCAACTGATTCTGCAGAATTGATGGCGACACCTGATAAGCAGAAAAACCTGCGGAATTTTTGGCAAGAAAAAACTCGCTTTGGAAGAACGCTGAGCAACTAAATGCACCAACTACACAGTAACCACGAGTGCACATTTTTATATTTTGCCATTATCTTCGCTAAGTTTTTTACGCGAAAATAAGTCTATTACCCGGTTACATTATCCTTGATGATCACATGGGTAAAAAAATTTTTCCTGGATATCTTGATTTTTTATAAATGGAAATGCTAAAAAAAAACTCACTTCTCCCATCAACACATTGATGAAGACTCTACAGTACTTTATTCGCGGGCGTCGATTATTAACAGCGGAGAGATTGAACGTTTTTCGGACAAAAAGGCGCTTTTCATTGCGACAGATTTCACAACTATCAGGTAGTGCCGCAACCCGCAACTCACCAAACGTTGAACACAAAACTACCTTGATCATAAAAATTGGCAAGAAATTTTAAGGGCTTTTTGCCTAGAAAAATTAGTTTCTTATTTGGATCCCTTAAAAACGTCCTACTTTTCCAAAATACTTGCATGCTATACAAAAGTTTCGGTGAGTCCCCCCAAGTTTGGCGGTGGCTTATTTTAAGAAAAGAAATTATGTTGTGGGAAGGTTCCCGTGAATTAAGTGGTGAATAGTACGAATCTATAACAAATTGTTCAACAAGAACCTGATAAAAAACTCACTATATTGGAAGAGCTCTCAGCAGTGATTGAACTTCGATTCAGTTGATCGCTCACATCCGAAGGAGTCTGTTTATGTTGCGATTTCACATTCAAACTATTCCCCTGCTGAGCAGAGGCGGCCGAGAATCGAGACACGGATGACCTCTGGGGTGGAGTTGGTAACTTATCCGTATTCCATTTCGGAGTGGGCGAACTTGACCCAATGATGGAATTTTTGCCCATGTCAAATTTTCTAGTCTCGCCTTTGTTTAACAGGCGTTCATCAACCTGCGTAAAATAATTTCTCAAAATTATACAAACTGAGTTTAATGCGGCCCAAAAAAATAAGGGCTGCAAAAGTGCCAATGACAGCAAGAAATCAAAAAAATTACTGAATTTTTTTTTTAATCTTCAACTTCCGATAGTTTTTGGATAAAAATAGCCCAATTTGTGAAAAGTGGATCTATAGGTGGATTTTTAACCGCAGCTAGGAAATCTGAAAATTAAAATTCACTTTCGAAGCCAGATTTCAAAAGAAAAACTCATACCATTTTCTTTTTTGCAATTTAAGAATGTAAAGGTCTTCTTCTTAGCAAATCAAATTGCATGGAACTTTAAAAAATCATGAGTCAAAGATCCAATTTGTCGTGAAAAAAAAACCAACACAGCCTACAAAAAGTCTTCACTACGTTCATTGACACTTATCAATCTGAAATTTTTTCACAAATTTATTAAATAATCCATGATTGCTTGACTTTCAAGATTTAAACACCCGAGTTATTGAATGCAATCTATTATCATGTGTCGCATCCCTTGCGAACCAAAAATCCATTTATTTGTTGGATTAGGATTAAGGCTACTGGGCTTGAAAAATATGCGAGCAACTAGCTTACCTCAACTTGGAGTTGGTCGGGAGAGATAGGGGTTATGTCCACAGCTACTGTCGTACTATTACTGCCTCCTAATCCGACCCTGCCTATGTTGCTACTACTACTATTCACGCCACTGTATTGATTATTGTTGTACATTTGAGATGAAATCAGGTGTTGTTGTTGTTGTTGTTGTTGTTGTTGATTTCCAATGCCTCTACCTCCACCAACCATCAACGCTTGTGTGGGCGACGGTGATATTGAAATAGGGGGCGATTGATTACTGTAGTTGTAACTGATATTAGGAGGAGAAATAGACGAAGAGTGGCTTGGGAGTTCTTTTTGGGGTGACGAATTGGTTAAATTTATGTGTGTTTCCTCTCGTCTTCTTGCGCTTTCGGTTCTGTACACCATCACCCTTCCCTGTTCTTTTCTGAACGCTAGTTCTTTAGGATGCGGAGTATGATGCCTCTTCAATTCCGTCTAAAATTTTAAATAATTTAATCTATTTAACTTTATTTATTATTCAATGCGGTTCCATGGCAGTCAAAACTTTCTTTGTGAACTTGAAATTATAGACAAGATCTCAAATAAATGAAACCAATCTTATCTTAAATAGTTGTTTACATGAAATGTGTTAACATGCGTAAAATTGTTATCATCAAACTCTATGATGAAACCAAATAAAGGCAGCTAATGAGCTCTAAAGGATTAATTTAATGATAAACTATACTGTTTTAATGGTTACTTTGTCTCAAGATAAATGAGTAAACCATACATGCTCTAGCGAACCGCTTGGTGCTGATTTAGTTTTTCAACGACATACAAATCGAGATATGACTTTCAAGATCAAATATAAGTTTCAGGTTACTTGTTTGGTCACTCAAAAAAATCAATTTACACAAATGGCCCCAACTTTTTGTTGGCTAGAATGCGCAGTTGGGAAATTAGACTGTAAACACACGTGAAAACCTGCTTAATTAGAGAACAAATGTCTGTCATAAATGCTGTTGACCCCGGAAGTACTAATAATTTTATTTGTGACCAAAACAAGTTTGATGAACTAAAAAAAAAAACAAAATCGATAACAATCTGATGAAGACATCCGATGAACACATCTTACGGTGAGAGATCTAACCGATGGGCCGAGCCAGCGATACTGGTTTAAAATAAAAAATAGATAAAAATGACCGATAATCAAGATTTTGTATGCCCTAACATCATTTAAATGCGCGCATAGTAAAAAAAAATAAGGAATTCATTCACCGCCGTTTTCAATTACAGGCTAAATACATCGTACTGAATTTTAAAAAAAAAACACCAAGAATATATTCAGTTGAATTCTCGAAAATCGTCAAAAAAAATTGCGAGATTGATATTATCTCATATAGGGAAGCGTCTTTTTGGTGAAAATTGCTATTTCTACAGTTTTGCCTTAATCACTTATCCATGACGTCTTGAAGATCAAAACTCGGGCAAGCTTTATTCTTTGATTTCAAGCTTTGCATCAACACTTTCCACTAAACTAACTTAGTTTGGGTGAAAGTAACAATCTTACAACACTACGCTCACAACCTCACTTGAGAATCTGAGTGAATAGAGGAGTTTTCGATGTGCTGTGTCAAAAATTTGAATAGAAATGGTAGCCCGTTGCTGTACAAGTAGCGCATAACCTTCCGACATCATATATTGCAAAAAAAAATATGTTGAAAAAAAAAATCGAAAAAAATCAACTTTATGTTCTACTATTTTTGACGTTTACCAAGTATCACAGTACAGACATGGTGGCCTCCAAAGTGTTTTAATTTGATAAAAACATTTAAAAAAACTTTTGAAACTATTTAAAAACATCAATCAAAATTTCGAAAATTTTTGAGGATATGTTCAATGCGCTCAAACAGAAGGCAAGTTTTGACATTGTTGTATCCCAATTGGTGCGAACGATACTCGTCAACTAACGCAGATTCCAACACGCTCTTAAAATGTTCTATGTTTTGATACATAAAATTTGATACATAAAATGTTTTGATACATAAAATGTTCTATGTTTTGATACATAAAATATTATTTTTCTTATAGGAGATAGTAATTTGCCTTCCAATCAACAACTAACAATCATTCATCATTCAAACTTTAAAAAATAATAATTTTTGAGATTGAACGAACTTCAATTTACAAAAAAAAACGAAAACGCGAAGTTAAATAAAAGAAAACTCAATTGGTGTATTAACTATTGAAGACCGTTTTTCTCGGCGTTGGATTTCAAGTAGTAAGTAAAAGGGCTTTGAATCAAACCACATTTGAACCCGCGCAAACTTCCTTGAATATTCCTAAAATCGTGCAAAAAAAACACCCTACGCCAATTTTCTCGCATTATTTTGGAAGGATCATAGGGCTGGACTTAAAAAGCAATCGCCCTGCAAATATTGAAGCATTTCTGAAAAGTGTTTCACAAACACTAATTATAATTGGAGTCTTGTCATCACATTATATGTTTTTAAAAAATAAAAAATTAGATGAACGAAAAGACGTTATAATTTCTTGCATAAAAAATCAAGACAAAAATCAAGACATAAAAAATCAAGACTTCTTTTAAATTCAAAGAAAATCGCGTTTTAAAAACGCGTGCATTAATGGTCTCAAAAACTGCTGTTCTTCATGAACAAATAAATGTTAGATGTTAACTTCTTATTAAATCAAACTAACTTACTGTGTACTGATTTAGAAGTTCGTCGTCTACAATTTCCGCATCATTAGACTGAAATGACACTTTCGACTCTCTCTTACTCCCTCCCCCCTCTCCCCCTTCAATTCCCTCTTCGAACCTCGCCTCCTTCATTGGTGGGCGCCTCATTTGCACCCCCATCATTGCACCTTGCGCGTCCCCCCAATCCCGCTGATCAACCTCATTACCCGCTGTCGTTTCTCCCGTATCGTAAACACCCGATTCGATATCGTCCATACTTTCCATGTCTCCTCCGTGATGTCTGTTATATTCATCGAAATGCAACGAAGTCATCGACGCCGCCAGCAAGTTTTCCATGCTTCCCGTCTTCTGTGGGAGGAACACACACGTCAGCACTTTCTTAGTGCCTCTCATTTCTGCATTTAGAGTTGGCAAACTCTGAGAACCCTGTGTTTCGGAGAGCCATAACGCTTTTAACGTGCGACCTAGCTTTCCTATACTAAATGGTAGCCATTCGAGTCTGTTGTTTGTCAAATCAAGAACGTACAGTTCCGTAAGATTTTCAATCGAGCTGGGAATTTCTGTCAAACAGTTGTCACGAAATGACAAAACACCAAGTTTGACGCATTTGCCGATGGATTCTGGGATAGACGTTATTCCATTCTGGTCAAAGTTCGCAGACCTCAAATTAACTAAATTTCCAATTGATTCTGGGATTTCTTTCAAACCGTTTGACGTGAAGAAAACTTCAGTTAAGGAAGTGCAATTTCCCCATGATTGAGGTATACATGTGAGCATATTTTCAGTGATTTTTAATCTGCATAGCTGCTTGAGATGTGAAATTGAGGTAGGGAGATTTTCGATATCATTCGTGTCCATCAGGAGCTCGTTTAGATTTTTAAGGTTGCCCAGTTGGTCTGGTAAATACTCCAGTTCGTTTTGGGTGACGTCGAGGCTTTCGAGACTGCGTAACCCATCAATGGTCTGGAAAGATAAAAAAAACAACTTTGAAACAAAAAACTTTTAAAATTGAAGAACTATGTATTGCTGATCAATTGGAGAATTTGCATACCTTTGGCAGCTCGACTAAGGCATTGTCATCAAGAAACAGGTCGCGCAAAGCTGTGAGATCTCCGATTTCATAGGGCTAAAAATCGAAGAGTTTGAATTCATTGAAGAGTTTGTTCAAGGCTGGTATACGATATTTAAAACGAGGCGCGGATATCTTGTAGGGCGCGAAAAAATTGATTTTGCTAGTTTGCTGCAAGAATGGCGCCACAAGTAAATTGTTTTCGGAAAATTTTTGAGTGATTTTTTATAAACAGGTTTTTGTCGAACACGTTTTTGGGCTTGTTTTTAGCGTGATAGGCTTGTTTACTTCCTTATTTTAATTCCGAACAAGAAATATGAAGGAACACTGCATTCTAGTGGGGGGCGTTCAACAGTGCCGAAGTACAACAGTGCCGAAAAAGGCGAGAAATTTTCAGAATAATTTGAACGCATTTTCTAAAGAGCGGGAAATTACTGACGCTAATTATCAAAGAAAATCACTCCAATTTTGGCGCCAATATGTCTGCAACTGCAAATTAAACAATTATTTTGGCGCCAAAACGTGTAAGCTGCAAATTTTCTCGCTCAAAATCTTTAAGTTTTACTCAAGATTGTAAACGATCGCTGTTTAATTTTTGATTGCCGCACTTAATATGTTGAAATTTTCGGCACTGTTGAACAAAGTTTTCATTTTCGGCACTGTTGAACAAAGTTTTCATTTTCGGCACTGTTGTACTTCGGCACTGTTGTACTGCCCCATTCTAGTGTTTTAGTTTGTAAATTTTTTATATGCAAAATAAGGCGTCACCACAAATAAACAATTTATGTCTACAAGTGATATCATATTGAGGCCCTTTTGATCGCAATTCGATTGATATGAACAATTTCCCAAAAGCTTTTTCTCGAGACAAAATCGGTCAGAAATTTAGCTTTGCGGTAATTTCTAATAAAACTATATCAAAAGCGCCTTTTATGTAGCCCACGAATAAAAGTTTTGCATAAAAAAAAATTGGAAAGCTTTTGGAGAATATATCCGTAAGACTTTTTGTTGGACCACAAGAAGCTCAATTTTATTTCGTTTAGCCAGGAGCTGGCCCGGTTAATTTTTGCATAGTTTTTATTAACACAACGCAGTCAAAAAGTGTCGGTTGCAAAAAAAAGAGTATTATAAACATAGCCAATCAAAGATTGGAAAAGAGAAATAAACGCAAGTAAACAAAAAACACGGACTCTGTTTGCCCGGATAAATTAAATCAGCTCTGCTGCTGTGTAAAATTAGGTGTCTAGTTGTGTTTACCTAATTTTTCAAATTTCATTTTCGTTAATCATTTTGCAGGACTGAGACTGAAGCCATTACCAATGTTATAAGCATACTTTAAGCTCCTCCCCCGCACGAAAAATTGCAATCTGAAAAAATATATCTATTACTTTTTTTCGAAAAATTTGTGACCAGCACCTTACGTGCTTTTTGCGCAGCAATTGGCAATACTGTACTGGTTGCAGTTTATTTCCTTTTTAGGTATAACTCAACATCTAAAAAGAAACCAGTCGACAGTGAAAGAGAACATACCAGTTCGTAGAGATCGTTTCCTCCCAGATCCAATAATCGCAGTCGGGTCAAGACGCCAATGGTGACAGGAAGAGTCTTCAGGAAGTTATCACGCAACTCAAGGCGCTCCAATTTGTTCAGACTAAACAAACAGCTTCAGGTACAAAATTCTTGAATTTTTATTTTACAAAACAATTAATTAACCTTCAGCGCTCATGTTATGTCGGAAACCATTTGACTCAACGCGTAAAAACAGAGCCAAACTACTTTCTGGCGCATTGAACAACTCATGGTCACCAATATTGGGAACTGTTTATGATTAGCTAAATAACCAAGACATCTTACGTCGATATTTCTTCCGGTATCTCCAGCAGACATATGTCATTCATCATCAACTTGTTCAAGTTTCTGAGCCTCCACAGTCCAGGGGGCACCTGGCCATCCATCATGGAGTTGCGACTGATGTCCAGATAGGTCAAGTTCACCAGCAGATTGATCTCATTGGGGAGCACTCTGATTTCATTGCGAGATATGTCGAGATGAGTTAAGAGGAGAAAGGTGGTGATTTGGGACGAAAGCTGTCGGATTCCATTGTCTGATATGTTAAGATAGCGAAGTTTAGTCATCTTCCAGAAGTCCTGCAATAACAAAAAAGGGGGATACATATGCTCAACCGTTGAACAAGTTCTTACCGGAGTTGCAATTCTTAACTCGGTAACATGGGGGTGATGGTTCTTAAAAGATCTAATTTGTGTTACCTTAACAAACATCAACGCTTTTGCCTTTCTGACAGCGCTTCAAAGCACATGTTTAACACAGATGCGAAGCTGAGCTTCGCACCACTTGCAATACAAAACAGGAAAGCTGCTAAGTCGAATAAAAAATTCGAAAATATCAAAAAAACTAGATAAATAGGGCAAGTTTAAAAACAAAACACAAGCCAAGACAATAGAATGTAAAATTCGCATCAAATGAAAATTTACCGAGCGGTAGCAAAGCCGAAAACACCTTAGATGAAATCCTTTAAGCTGAAAAAAATTCAACAAGACTTTTAAGAATTTATCAATTCCCCCTCGCCCTCAAAAAAAAACACAAACAAAAAAAATTTCGCTCCTCGAACGACGCAATATGATGCCACTAAGCCAATATAATATAGGCCGAATCTTACTAAGCCGAAAAAAAAAGTAAAATAAAAACCCATAAAACATCAAAAAAAATAAGATATTCAGTCACCCACACCCTCAAAACACACAACTAAAAAATTAAGCCAAAAAATTAAGACTACTTAAAAGTTATTAAGTCCCCTTCACTCTCAAAACACACACACACACATACACACACACACGCACACACACACACACACACGCGCGCACACACACACACACTTTATCGCTCGTCGAACGACGCAATTTTCGGCAACTAAGCCTATAGACTTAGTGGACGAATATATAGGCCTAAGCCTATCAAGCCCAAAAAAAGGAAAAGAAAAAACATGAAATTTTAACTAAATTACACATGACAGTTGGTTAAAATACAAACGACTTAAAAATAATTTCAGAACAGACAGATATTGAAAATCCCAACAAGCATAAAATATATCTGTAGCGGTAAATTGGTTGCTAAGAGGCTTCAAGGAAATGAGTCCAGATGAAAAGGTCATGAGTCTTCAAGGAAACGCGCCCTGTGAACAAAGTTATTTACGGGAAAAAGTCTTGTACCTGATTGCAATACCCTTGCCTATCGCCTATTCCGTTCGAAGGGTACTTAGAACGGAATACTTCGACAACTGCCGCACAAATTCAAAGTTAATTTTCCAATGTATTGCATCATATACACCCCTCCATTTGAATAGCAAGATTTATAAGATACTACGAGCTGTATGCGAGAATGAGTGTGCATGAAATAATACCTGAGGCAGACTTTCGAGGTCATTGACCTCCAAATTCAGCTCCAGAAGCGTCTTGGCGTAACGCAGCACTTCCGGGGGCACATCTCGTAACTGACATCTGGACTTGTCAATGGATTCTATGTTGCGGTTGCACGCCAAAACCAGCTGCTTCCAAAATCCCATTTGGACAAAAACTGCACGGTAAAGGTAAAGGTCAATTTACTACATCAGTCTTAAGGCCACGCGGCAACAAATGGAAAGAAAAGAGCGCAAACTAGTTCTATGCTAATGCAATTATGTTGTATTGCTATGTACAATAAACAATTTGGAGATAACGTTATGTAAAAAATTATATCATTCACGCATTCCCTTCGTTTTCTGGCGACATCAATTCAGGCATCTGTTTCAATCAGCTAAATTTTACGGGTAAACCCAACAAATGCACACTTAACAATTGTTGCTGAGTTCATTCTAATCTGAAAAGAGTCTATTGTGATTCTAGGCTGATCAAACAGCTACAAACTCAGAGCACTTATAGCATATAGAATTAAAGCCACCATCTCAGTCAATGTAAATTGACTTCGATTTAACTCTCAGATTTATATGATACCTGACTTTGAGTATAAATTAGGGCTATGAACAACTTTACTACCAACAGAGCATTCGTTTTTTAAAATTGGCGATCAAAAAAGATTGAAAAATAAATATCAAAAATTGAAAAAAATCCAGAACAAATAGATGAAAAACTATCTGAAAGTTGCAGTCTGAGTCGTATTCGAGCATTTACGCCATCAAGGTGATATTCAAGCATTACGCTATCATGGCCTTCTAATTGCCAATCACAACGCGACTGGAAAGGTTTGGGTCAGCTTCGGGGATGTGTTCCAAGTTTCAGACCAATTGAGCCATCTCCCCGCGAGGGGGCCTATCGCTCAATTAAACTTGATAGATGTTTATAACCACTTGAAACTTCTAACAAAAACATGAACCAGATTCTTGAACGAACATGGAACACCAAAATGAACAACATCAAAACTCACAACTACTTTCAGTGTAAGTAAGAAATCATCAAATTAGTTAATATTTAACCAAAATTTTTCAGTTTCAAATGAAGAAATATGTGCGGTTACATACATTAAGGTGCCGAGGAGAACCATTTTAGGTGTTAAGATATAATAATAGAGAACCAAACAGATTAGATAACTTACTTACCTCGAAGCAATGATAACTCAAAACGAACATAACAAATTTTCGATTTTTTTCTGTATCAACAAATTCTTCAGGCCTGCGTGATAATTATATATTATCGACCTGTTCGCGTTCCGTGATGTCTTTTCCGGTGATTTTGCCAGTTTTCCTTGGCTGGAGATAGCTCAATTGGTCATTACTAGGTGAGAGGAAAATCTTACAACTTCAAAAGATTCACTAACCGAAATCACAATTACTGGGGACCATCTAAAGCTGGAGGTACTTGTTTGGGTGCATAGACATTTGTGTCTCGGGACATTTGTGTCCTTGACAAAACAAACCGAAATTATCAAATTGTACCAGACATATGTCCCAGACAAAAATGTCCGAAACTGTTTTGCGAAATTAATTTCTTTGATTTGACCTGGGTAATTTTTGACAAAATTTTTTCGTAATTTGGTCAATATTTGAAAATGTAAAAACCCAAAATTGGGTAAACTGGAGCAAAGTTGAAATTGTTGACTTGATTGAGCCAAAAGGAAAGAGAATAGGACAAGCTGGATTACATTGATCATTTGCCGTTTTCAAAACGGGTCTTGCTCATTTTTGAAAATTTCTGGGAAAAAGTTCAACTTAAAAAAATTTATTAAAAATTATTGCTTCGCAATATCAACTTTGGAAAAAAAATAAGTTTGAAATATAGTTTCATGTTGCTGCTGCATCCTTTTAGGAAACTCAGAAATTTACTTAGTTCGTAAGCCGCAACTAGTTCGGACAAGTTTTTGTCAAGTTTGACCTGAAAAGGTTTTATAACAAGACACTCTTTGCCCGGCACACATTTTTTCGGTCAAATTCAGCATTTTTCTGTTCGTCCTGAAACTTTTCTTTGAGTTTGGGAAATGATGGATGCTTGCCGTTCACGAGCTTAACGAAGTTGCTATTCCAACCTTCAACAGCATTGTTGGTTCTGGGTCGCCCGGTTATCACACGTTGATGACATCTCCAGCTGTCAACGTCAAAACTGGGGTTTTGAGGAGTTCCATTTGCCGCCGAGAGCCGACCAACGTAATTGTCCTCCGAGAGCCGAACAAAGTAATTGAAGATTGGGTGGGCTGTCTCAGGGCATGTCTTCTGAAGAGTTTCAAAAGCAGTAGAAACATCACTTACAGGCAGGAAAGCGATACTCAGCAGCATTCGGACATGCTCGCGGAATTCTAGATCTAGTCTGTAGTTGTTTGTATTCTCAGTAGATTGAATGTGACGCCAGACGCTTTGGCTCAAATGGAAATAGCAGTATTGACATTGTACATTTTTGGATATTTAATTGAACGCATTTTTGACCGCTATTTCGAAATCAATGGTGGCTCGTTTGGGAAATTCAAAGTCGAAGCATCATTTTTCGCTTGGTATCGTTAGGTCCAGAGTCAAAATGAAGGAAACGCTCGCCACTGTGTGCCACTTTCAGCAACTCTGGCAGTTCAAAATCAATTAAGGACTGGGGTTCCTGCATTCTGGGCCGTTCTTCCTGTTTTACTCTGTTAATCATCCTCTGGTTGGCTGACTAGGTCGGAATTACTGCTGCAGTTCGGAACTTTTACTGCTGCTGCAAATTTTTTCAGCCTGCATGATACTTTATACATTATCGACCTGTTCGCGTTCGGCGATGTCTTTTCCGTTGATTTTGCCAATTATCCTTGGCTGGAGATAGCTCAATGGGTCATTACGGGGTGAGATGAAAATCTCACAACTTCAAAAGATTCACTAACCGAAATCACAATTACTGGGGACCATCTAAAGCTGGAGGTACTTGTTTGGGTGCATAGACATTTGTGTCCTTGACAAAACAAACCGAAATTATCAAATTGTACCAGACATATGTCCCAGACAAAAATGTCCGAAACTGTTTTGCGAAATTAATTTCTTTGATTTGACCTGGGTAATTTTTGACAAAATTTTTTCGTAATTTGGTCAATATTTGAAAATGTAAAAACCCAAAATTGGGTAAACTGGAGCAAAGTTGAAATTGTTGACTTGATTGAGCCAAAAGGAAAGAGAATAGGACAAGCTTGATTACATTGATCATTTGCCGTTTTCAAAACGGGTCTTGCTCATTTTTGAAAATTTCTGGGAAAAAGTTCAACTTAAAAAAATTTATTAAAAATTATTGCTTCGCAATATCAACTTTGGAAAAAAAATAAGTTTGAAATATAGTTTCATGTTGCTGCTGCATCCTTTTAGGAAACTCAGAAATTTACTTAGTTCGTAAGCCGCAACTAGTTCGGACAAGTTTTTGTCAAGTTTGACCTGAAAAGGTTTTATAACAAGACACTCTTTGCCCGGCACACATTTTTTCGGTCAAATTCAGCATTTTTCTGTTCGTCCTGAAACTTTTCTTTGAGTTTGGGAAATGATGGATGCTTGCCGTTCACGAGCTTAACGAAGTTGCTATTCCAACCTTCAACAGCATTGTTGGTTCTGGGTCGCCCGGTTATCACACGTTGATGACATCTCCAGCTGTCAACGTCAAAACTGGGGTTTTGAGGAGTTCCATTTGCCGCCGAGAGCCGACCAACGTAATTGTCCTCCGAGAGCCGAACAAAGTAATTGAAGATTGGGTGGGCTGTCTCAGGGCATGTCTTCTGAAGAGTTTCAAAAGCAGTAGAAACATCACTTACAGGCAGGAAAGCGATACTCAGCAGCATTCGGACATGCTCGCGGAATTCTAGATCTAGTCTGTAGTTGTTTGTATTCTCAGTAGATTGAATGTGACGCCAGACGCTTTGGCTCAAATGGAAATAGCAGTATTGACATTGTACATTTTTGGATATTTAATTGAACGCATTTTTGACCGCTATTTCGAAATCAATGGTGGCTCGTTTGGGAAATTCAAAGTCGAAGCATCATTTTTCGCTTGGTATCGTTAGGTCCAGAGTCAAAATGAAGGAAACGCTCGCCACTGTGTGCCACTTTCAGCAACTCTGGCAGTTCAAAATCAATTAAGGACTGGGGTTCCTGCATTCTGGGCCGTTCTTCCTGTTTTACTCTGTTAATCATCCTCTGGTTGGCTGACTAGGTCGGAATTACTGCTGCAGTTCGGAATTTTTACTGCTGCTGCAAATTTTTTCAGCCTGCGTGATACTTTATACATTATCGACCTGTTCGCGTTCGGCGATGTCTTTTCCGTTGATTTTGCCAATTATCCTTGGCTGGAGATAGCTCAATGGGTCATTACGGGGTGAGATGAAAATCTCACAACTTCAAAAGATTCACTAACCGAAATCACAATTACTGGGGACCATCTAAAGCTGGAGGTACTTGTTTGGGTGCATAGACATTTGTGTCCTTGACCAAAGAACCCGAAATTATAAAAATGTACCAGACATGTCGCAGACAAAATTGTCTGAAACTGTTTTGCGAAATAAATTTCGTTGATTTGACCTGCGTAATTTTCGACAAAAATCTTTTGTAATTTGGTCAATATTTGAAATTGTAAAAACCCAAAATTGGGTAAACTGGAGCAAAGTTGAAATTGTTGACTTGATGGAGCCAAAAGGAAAGAGAATAGGACAAGCTTGATTACATTGATCATTTGCCGTTTTCAAAACGGGTCTTGCTCAATTTTGAAATTTTCTGGGAAAAAGTTCAACTTAAAAAAATTTATTAAAAATTATTGCTTCGCAATATCAACTTTGGAAAAAAAATTACTTTGAAATATAGTTTCATGTTGCTGCTGCATCCTTTTAGGAAACTCAGAAATTTACTTGAGTCGTAGGCCGCAACTAGTTCGGACAAGTTTTTGTCAAGTTTGACCTGAAGAGGTTTTATAACAAGACACTATTTGCCCGGCACACATTTTTTCGGTCAAAATTCAGCATTTTTCTGTTCGTCCTGAAACTTTTCTTTGAGTTTGGGAAATGATGAGTGCTTGCCGTTCACGAGCTTAACGAAGTTGCTATTCCAACCTTCAACAGCATTGTTGGTTCTGGGTCGCCCGGTTATCACACGTTGATGACATCTCCAGCTGTCAACGTCAAATCTGGGGTTTTGAGGAGTTCCATTTGCCGCCGAGAGCCGACCAACGTAATTGTCCTCCGAGAGCCGACCAAAGTAATTGAAGATTGGGTGGGCTGTCTCAGGGCATGTCTTCTGAAGAGTTTCAAAAGCAGTAGAAACATCACTTACAGGCAGGAAAGCGATACTCAGCAGCATTCGGACATGCTCGCGGAATTCTAGATCTAGTCTGTAGTTGTTTGTATTCTCAGTAGATTGAATGTGACCCCAGACGCTTTGGCTCAAATGGAAATAGCAGTATTGACATTGTACATTTTTGGATATTTAATTGAACGCATTTTTGACCGCTATTTCGAAATCAATGGTGGCTCGTTTGGGAAATTCAAAGTCGAAGCATCATTTTTCGCTTGGTATCGTTAGGTCCAGAGTCAAAATGAAGGAAACGCTCGCCACTGTGTGCCACTTTCAGCAACTCTGGCAGTTCAAAATCAATTAAGGACTGGGGTTCCTGCATTCTGGGCCGTTCTTCCTGTTTTACTCTGTTAATCGTCCTCTGGTTGGCTGACTAGGTCGGAATTACTGCTGCAGTTCGGAATTTTTACTGCTGCTGCAAATTTTTTCAGCCTGCGTGATACTTTATACATTATCGACCTGTTCGCGTTCGGCGATGTCTTTTCCGTTGATTTTGCCAATTATCCTTGGCTGGAGATAGCTCAATTGGTCATTACGGGGTGAGATGAAAATCTCACAACTTCAAAAGATTCACTAACCGAAATCACAATTACTGGGGACCATCTAAAGCTGGAGGTACTTGTTTGGGTGCATGGCGTTAGCAACCATTTAGGACATGGTTGAACCGGTCAACATTGTTGACCATTCCTGTTGATTTTAGCACCCAAAAGCTGAATATTTTTCGTTTTTCCTGAACTAACTTCGTGAGCAAATCTTTGGGAGCAAGGTCTGAAGATTTAGCTTCAAGTTCTCGGCATCTATGTTGTTTAGCATTCAAGAGTCGTGTGGAGTTGTTTTGCATGGCAAGCAGCTTTGCTTTCATGGCGTAAAAGTTTTCTTCGACTTATTTGACCCTTTCACTTTCATCTGAAGTTAAGTTTTGAATCTGACCATCTCGGCTATTATTTGCTATACTACTAGGGTTCATTGATGAATTATCATCAGCTGAAGAACCATTGTTTGCAATTGTTTCTTCTTCTGTTTTTTGCCATCTCTTCATCTCTTCTCGGTTTATTTTAACTTCGATTTCAATTGGCATATTTTTTGCAAAAGGCGCTTGTTCTTCTCCACTAAAGCAACGCAATAAGCAATGGGTTCCATGTTAAATCTGAAACCGATTTCTTTTGTCTCAAATTTGAAGTTATTTTAAGATCAAGTTCTCGAAAATAGTTGCACTGGGAAACAACTTTTCTACAGCTGCGCTTCCCGGGTTAAGCAGAAATCGAGGGAAAGAACTTCGACTTTTTGCAGCACTTTTTGTAGATCATTCTTGAACATCCCAAATGGAGCCGTTTAAGTTGTCAAGCTATCTAAATAGTTTTCAAAAATTATTTCTTCGAAGAATGAAATTAAAAGGATGCCTGAAAGCGGGGACAACCACGAAAGCAAAAAAACCAAGTCAAAAACAAACACTACAGCCCGAATTTGAAAAACTTTAGGGGTGCGATTTTTTTTCGATATTCGGAGTTTAGACTAAAAAATCCTTGATCAATATGAAATGAAACTTGAGCATTGAAGCGATACAGCTGTACAAAAATTTTTCTTTGACTTATCTTGCTGCAATTTTCAGACCTGGTAATTCATCCGTGGCTTGAAAATTTCTTTTGAAGAATTAAATTCTCACGAGAGTAAAAACAACAAAACAATTCGATTTAGGTCAACAGTTCTGACTCGGACCGAATGTACTCTCCCACATCACTCTGATGCAGCAAAACATTCGTTATCGGTTGGGCTCTTCTGCAATCAGCTGTTGACCTCGCTGATACTCCGAAACCCAGCGGCACATCGCCCATCGAATACACGACAACACCCGCATACGCCGGTGTATTTTCTGTGATACGCCCCAAGCCCCCTTTAGTCACGTGATTGCCATACAAAAAAGATTGCTCTGAACTGGGCTTGAGCCATACTTTATACTGTGCGTAATCAGCAATTACTGGCAAAGCGGTTATTAGAAGTTTGAATTTTCCTGTTTTTGTGAACTTTCCAATGCAAGTTCCGACTGAGATGATCTTTTTGCGTGGGACTGTGATTGCGGCAGTGATGACATCTTCTCTGGCGTAAAACACGCGGTCGTTGTGCAACCTGAAGCTGTAATGGTGATCTGTTCTCTCGATTAGTTTCCGCACATTGTCTCCGATGTATTTCATCAACTTCTCAATCACCGATTTCATTTCTTGCTCTTTCAGCTGACGCATCTTTCTGTCTGAAAATAACATGGAAACCTTTGGTACTTTTTAAGAAATCCATTTTTTGCCGACCGACCCTAAAATTTTTCTAAAGGCGCCTTTGGCGCCAATATATACTAACTTTGAGGGGGAGCGCGCGCCAAAAAAACGCGATTTTTTTGTCAAAATTTTTCAAAAAGTGCCTAAAAACGGCTTTTTTTGACCTGTTTTTTCAAAAATTTGCCTGCGGCGCAGAAAATTTGGCAAAAACAGGGACCTTTTAGTGCTTTAGAAGAGCTCGGGAAATCAATTTGGTCGACCTAAAAAAAAAAAAAAGGGGGCGTCAAAATTTTCGAAAAATAGAGCAACACCCAATGGATCGTCTAGTGTTTTGTTCTCGGCAGCTTCAAAAAAATTTATAGCCCGATCTTTCTAAATGAAGTACAGTAGTGTCATCCTGGTCGGCGGAACAGTTGATATACTACCAATTGACCATGTACAGGGCATAATCTTATAAAACAAATCGCGATTTAAGATTTTCAGTCCTTTAAAACATTTTCCACTATTTTGCAAGAAGAACCTAGTATTATGTTCCTCCAATAAAAAACGATGGAGCCTTTTGCAAAGACTAGATAATAACGAGATCACTGACAAAAACAAACAACCTACCTAAAACACGATTGGTCTTCTAACATGCCCAGAGCCGAAGGAAACAGACAGGAAAAAAGCACTTGACGTAAAAGAACTTTTTTGCTGGACATGCAACAGACAATAATTAGCATGGATGGAGATCTGAAAGATCGTCTGATCGTTGAACAAAAATTAGAGAAATTGTTCTAATTTTCAATCGCAAACATGATCAACCGAATCACGAAAACCTTATCACCTTGTATGCACAAGCTTTCAACTCATTGTATTTGAAAAAAAAAGAAAACAGAAATGGAGTTGAAAACTTGGGCATGCGTGATGATGAGGTTTTTATTTTTCAAATACAATAATTTGATTCGATTTTTGCAAGCGATAAATAAATTCGATGATACATACTGAAATCTGAGCATATGGGAGAACATATGGCAACACGAACTCAAAAGATGCTTTAAAAAATCATAGGTATGCAAACAAATTATCGCAAATACATATGTCACTATAAGATTGGTTGATGAACAGAGGAGTTCAACGGAAAAAATAGAGCCACGTTCTCAAAGAGCAAAAATCAAATATGAACCTAAATCACAATGGAGCTTGCTCATATTTTCTGACTTCACACCCAACACAATTTTGCAAGACGCACAATTAAGTAATCTCAAGTGTGCATCCTGCAAAACAACCAAATACGAATATCCCACAACAACTACACCAACAATTGCATCACTCAAGTCCTGCGTGTTCAGAGAACACAACTCAGCAAAACGCCTATGTACTCAAAGAGCGCAACTCAGAAGAGGATCCAAAACAGAGCGGACACGCAGCGCACGAGTGACCCAAAACAATGCCTTTTCCAAAGGATGACAAATCTCACATTCATTTGATTCCCTCAAGGATGATAGTGGATGAGCACCGTTCTTTGGAGACTTCACTATGGGGTCGAGCCAGGCAGCAGCTTTTGGAATTTCATATAAACAAGACATGGCAGAATCGCATATAGTATTTTAAATACAATGCAAGACTATGACCCAAAAAGAGACTATTTATCCCAAAACCTAAAAACTATTCGCAATCAACCTTGAGGCAATCGAATGTGAGGTACCACTTTTCAACAGACAGGCTCTGTACGAACCACGCAGGAATAGCGGCGACAAAAGACTTTTCAACAGAGGTGCACGAATGCACTTTGGATATTGGTCAATCAACAACAGAGAGATCTCGCGCTGATGCAGTTGTTGGTGTAGTTGTTGTGGGAGATTCATATTTGATATTTTATAGGCATCAATATGGGGCGAAGGCTGCTCCGGGGTGGACTCTAGGCCGGAAAAGCCTTATTGTAAGATCAAATATTATATATAGTTCATAACAACTAGATAGTAACGCACCTCCGGTGCTTCGAATTTTTAACAACTCGTAAAAAACGTTATATTGGGAAAAAAATCAGCATCCTTTGAGTGTACTCTGACAGCACCGAAAAACAGGGTTGGCAATTTCAAATTTAAAAAAAATTCTTTTCAATTCAAAACTTTAAACACCACTAGGTTTTTTATATCTTAAGTCTTTGAAAAACTTTAATATTCTAAAACTAATTGAGCGGTGGCATTTAGACGCAAGATTTACAACTCCTGAGAGAACTCTTATAGTACCCAACTACAGCGTTGGGAATTTCAAACTTTGAGAAACTTAAAATTAAGTTTTCTAAAAAAAAAACTGAAAAAAACGTCTTATCTCGAAAACAACCGAAGATTTGAGCAGCCACAACTCGAGGCAAGATCTCTCGTAATCCCTGAGAGTACTCTGATATCCTCCAACTACAGGGGGTTAGGAACTTCAAAATTCGAAGAAAAAAATTTAAGTTTTCTGAAAATTTTAAAGAAAAAATAACAAAAAACGTCATATCTAAAAACTACAAAGACTTGAGCAGTCACATTTCGAGGCAACATTTGCAACACCTGAGAGCACTCTGACAGCCCCAAACTAAACGGTTGGGAAATTCAAATTTAGAAGAAATTAAATTATATTTAGGTTTTCTGAAAACTTTTTTTAAAAAAAACACAAAAAACGTCATATCTCAAAAACTACAAGGATTTGAGAAGTCATATTTGGAAAAAACACTGACAACTCCTGGGAGTACCCTGACAGCGCCTCACTATAGAGGTGGGAATTTCAAATTTTGTGATATTATTTATATCTAAATTCTTTCAAAAAATCTTGAAAAAAATCCTTAAAAACATCAAATCTCGAAAACTGAAAGGATGTGAGCAGTCATATTCAGAGGCAAGATCCGCAACTCCTGAGAGTATCCTCACAGTTTCCAACTACAGGATTGAGATCTTCAAACTTTCTGATTTTTCTTAAATTTTAAATTTTTCGAAAATTTTTGAAAAAATTCTAAAAAAACGTCATATCTTGAAAACTACGATGATTTGAGAAGTATAATTTGGAGGCAAGATTCGCAACCCCTGAGACTACAGGGTTGCAGATTTCAAATTTTCAGAAACTTAAAAAATTGAAGTTTTCCAGAAATTTTTGAAACATCTTGAAACATCGAGGCCGAAATCGCAACATCCGGGGAAACCCTGACAGCATCTCACTATTGGGTTGCTTATTTCAAATTTGGTGAAGTAAAAACTGATTTCAAACTGGAAAATTGGAAAAATCTTAACCATAGCAATATACGATATAGCTTAAACGTGAAAAAATTCTTTTGTTAAACATGCAAAAATAATACGTCGAAGAAGCTTAAACATGGCGAGATAGTGAACACTGACAACTCCTGGGAGTACCCTGACAGAGCCTCACTATAGAGGTGGGAATTTCAAATTTTGTGATAATATTTATATCTAAATTCTTTCAAAAAAATCTTGAAAAAAATCCTAAAAATATCAAATCTCGAAAACTAAAAGGATGTGAGCAGTCATATTCAGAGGCAAGATCCGCAACTCCTGAGAGTATCCTCACAGTTTCCAACTACAGGATTGAGATCTTTGAAATTTTTGATTTTTCTTAAACTTTAAGTTTTTCGAAAATTTTTGAAAAAATCATAAAAAAACGTCATATTTCGAAAACTACTATGATTTGAGAAGTGTAATTTGGAGGAGGCAAGATTCGCAACCCCTGAGACTACAGGGTTGCAGATTTCAAATTTTCAGAAACTTAAATAATTGAAGTTTTCCAGAAATTTTTGAAACATCTTGAAAATTGCAGAAAACCGTTATTGAAACATGGAGGCCGAAATCGCAACATCCGGGGAAACCCTGACAGCATCTCACTATTGGGTTGCTAGTTTCAATTTTGGTGAAGTAAAAACTGATTTCAAACTGGAAAATTGGAAAAAATCTTAACCATAGCAATATACGATATAGCTTAAACGTGAAAAAATTCTTTTGTTAAACATGGCAAAATAATACGTTGAAAAAGATTAAACATGGCGAGATAGTGAAGCCCGCATTTAAATATATAATAGATAACAGGCAGCGGGTTCGCGTGTAATCAATATGTATATTGGTTAAAAACACTATCAGGTAGAGGTTTTGCGGTCACCATGTGTGTAAAGTTCGATAACACCATCAGATGTCTGACGAAAAATTAGATGAAAGCCGAAAAAACCGAACGAAAAAATCGATCTCTGAAATAATTGTCTTGATTTTTTCTTGAAATAAAATTATTTCAAAAACAGATGCCCACGAATAAAAAAATGAATGTTAAACGAGGGTAAAAACCGTCGAAAGAAAACTTATAGCGGTAACTAAGACAACTCTTGAACAGACACGTCATTGTTTTTATTGTCCCCCTCATAACTCGTAAATAAAAATGTTTGCTCCTCAAAACCGCGTCAAAAAAAGCTCTGAGCCACAGCCTTTGACACCAAATAAGGAAGCTGAAACCTCTCCCTGTATCGAAGAGGACCAAGCTTCTTATCACGGAAATCTCGCAGAAAACCAAAATTCAAGCATCTTTTCAAATATCTCAAAGCTTGCTCATCCACCAACAGTTTCCTTGGGAAATTCTACAGCATCAACCTTGACTCAACAGTGCGCAGTTTAAACCTCGAAACATTCCAACTACCATACTCTGATACTATTACTGACAATCATTACATATCCGAAAAAAAACTTAAAAATCTCACAATTTTTGCATGTCACGAAATCGAGAGGTACCTCCAGCGCTCTTCACAAACACAACGGAGCTCTCCAAGTCGATCGGCTAGTTGTTCAGCAAGAATTAACAAAATGGTGTCTTTAAAGAAGAGTGGAAAGTTGGTAAAGTTAATTTTTTTTAAAGAAAGCTCCGAAAACTGATTTTTTTAACTATCGACCTATCACGCTGCTGAACAAAAATTGTCTTTCCCTCTCTTTACCAGCATGCTGTTTATTGTATTCCAAATCA